CTCCTTTTTGACTTGTGGAGTCTTGATCTGGTGTGAACTTCATGTCGATTGCGGTTAATGACCCTCTACCCTTCCCCATGTGACATTGTGCCAGTGTTGCGGTTGGTTACTTAGGCCTGAGCTCTGCTTCCTGGGAGGAATGAGAGAGGTCACATGCCACCCTATACCCAAAAACACCAGATATTTGTAAGGGCTCTGTCATATGAACAAGAATGGTCTCCACGAGCAGGCATGGTATTTAGTAGGTGAGGAGTTGGTGTAGCAAGAAAACCAGTCACTTTTACCTGCATGTGTCAAATGAAAAGATACATTTTACATAAGAAACCTACCTTTCCTGAGAAAGTGGGGCACGGTCACATGTTCACTTCCAAAGACTCTTTGGGGCCTGAAATTAAGGCAGAGCTAACTAGTCAACAATTCCACCAGGGTGGGTGTCCTGTTTATTGATCAATGCCCTTCACATTGGTCATGTGACCATATAATAGAGAGAGGTTTTGTTTTAGTTTTTTCGGGATTTATGCATTATTAGTGACAATTAGATCTAAGATGGAGCCGAAACTTGTTCGGGAAGAGGTCTCTTTTAAATGTATAATGTGATTCTTTAATGATTCTTTAACTGCAGTGTCCCTGGAATCCTTACCATGGTTGCGCTATTTCCTGTGTTCATCCACAATCTTTGTAGTGATCCCTTTTTTATGTCACGTAGAGTTTGATTCATATAAGGAATTTGTTCTTTTCTGCAGAAATCTGGAAAGAACATCTGATGACTCAACAGATACTGATGACTATTCAGACCAGCCAGTAAGTGGAAGGGCATAGAGATAACATAGTAATATTATCCCTGCATACTATGGGTAGCAAATGCTTTAAAGCAGACTGCCATCGCGCTTACGGGGAATCTGTCACTTTGCTTATTTCGGGGAAAAAATTGATAAGGCACTTCTCCTTTTACTGGTGCTTTGCCTCTCTCCACCACTGCTCCGTTTATCTGCGGGAGTGCTGGGAAACAAAATAGATTTGTATTGGCATGGAGAGCATGTGGCCTCCTTCCTTTGCCCCAGGATGGAATCATCTGAGTGGGCAATCACTGTCACATGGGGAGGGGAAAAGGTAATTGGATGTGAACCCCAACTGAATGAATTATTTGCAGGGGTGGGGGGGAGTCTCTCAGTGCTGCTGATCTGTAGCCTCTTTGCTGCCAATACCTGTCCACATGCATGGCATTTCTCAGTGCAGGTAATAGTGACAATAATTGACCATGCCTGCATAATGTGTGTTGAAATGGCCACGTGAAGCCCATGTGACACATGTGAGCACATGGGGGACAGGAACAGAGCATTGTCACCTCATAACAGTAAATGTCTGGGCATGGGCCTTAATGGCCGATCTATGAGATTTTAGTCACTGGCTGTATATGAACTTTAACCCTGTGTAACGCCAACACAGAGCTTATACAGAGATTAGACTTGACACTTCCACAAGTGAACAGAGTGTTGCAGCTGCACAGGGAAGGTTAGTATTAACTCTTCATTGTCCACTGAAAACAAAATTCTTATTTTTCAGCTAAAATTACCTTTATTCTGCAATTCTGTCCCCTAGCTAAAAGCTTTACTCAGTCACACAGCCTTGAAGACTGAATAGCAGAAATACAAGTGAATCTGGTTTGTGGAAAGTAGAAGCAGACAGTTATAATAAAGGACTTTACCACCAATCAGATTCCATGTCATTTGTCCAGGATTGGCAGTATTGTCCAATACACGGTTGCTTCCAGTTCTGATAAATATGGCTTTCTGGCTGTAATTCCACATTCCACCAGCAGATGTCCTCCTTGCTCAGTGTTACACTGTCCATACTGCATACCTTTTTGAAGAGTTGACCTTGCTTGCCTCAGTATCTTTGCAGGTTTTTACCTTCCCTTGCACTTTTATAAAGGGATTCTATGTGGTCTTGCAGCATTGGTTTCTATGATAATGGAGTAAACCTCCTTGTCTTAGATTGTATTGCAACTGTACCCCTTTATTTTGTAAAGCACCGCACAAACTGTTGGTGCTTTATAAATTCATGTAGTATTATAATAATAATTGTACATTTGCATGTAAACAGACTGGTGCAGTGGTAAACATGTATTTTATCCTATGCACGTAATGGACAAATGACTGTCCCTTTATAATCACCTCTAGCAGTTTGATGGTATGGGAAATGTCTAACTCTCTGCGCATCTGCAAACCTAAATATAGAATATATCAGAACAGTGACAAATAAAATATTTGATATACTGCTAGTGTCATTTTTCTTTTTCTCCTCAGTCCTCAAATCACATGAACTCCTCTCTGCTGTCCTTGTACCGGAAAGGAAACCCCGAGTTCGACACGCCCTCCAAAAATGAAACCCCAGAAACCAGCACGCCAGCCCCCTCCAGGTCCGCTGCACAATCCGATACACCGGGGCACACCAGAACCCCAGAAGCTGGATGGTTTATTGATAAAACATCCAGCAGGACCATAGAGAAGAACCTCTTCATAGACCTGTGTGATGATGAAGAGAAAGAGAAGAAAGCTGGCATGGAAGAGGTGGGCATCCTGTCTTTATTGCTCATGCAGTGCCTCAGCACACACACAGCTATTTTATTTGTACCTTTTAAAGTAAATCTGTAATAAATCTAGGCAGTTCAAACTGAGCCTATGATGGGGGAAATGATCGGTAGATCCAGAGAGATGAGCAACTGTATTTTATATGCAAATCCTGACTTTTCTTACAAAAGTCAGGCATGGCTCTACCCATTCCTGCTTCGCGATTGCTCATCCTAGGTATACACGTGTCTGTTTTTGTTTTTTCTTTCGTTCAACTCACGAGCTGAACAAAGAAAATAGAATAGATTCCGCCATCAACGCATATGAGCGTTAATGGACAAAATGCCTGCTTTTTGCCGCTGTCGGGATACCCATTCGGCTGAGTATTTTCCAGCCGTCTCCTCCTATTAGCTGATCGAGGGGTGCCAACAGGCATCGGGAACCGTCCGAAATTTGTACCGTGTGTACCCTACTTAAGCTAAACCTTTACATGCAAAGTGTATTCAGTTGCCTATATCTATGGAATTGATGATCATTTTAACACACTTTTTTTGGGGGGGGGAACTGACTATTGGTACTTAGACCAGTGGCCCCGTAACATCTTCTTTATCCTATTACACAAGCTGTGATTACCTTTTGCCCCCCATATATGCCTGGGATCTACAACCTTCAGCGTCCCATGCCATTGCTCAATGTATCTCTTATACCCATCCTGGTATACACTGTTAATACTAAAGCTGACTTTACACTTTTACATTGTAATAACGTATTGGAAACACTCTGGGAGGAATTTATCAAAACTGGAGCAGACAAAACTGGAGCAGCTGTGCATGGCAACCAAGCTGATTGGTTGCCATGCACAGCTGCTCCAGATTTTGTCTGCTCCAGTTTTGATAAATTCCCCTCTCTGTGTAGTGGCATTCATCAAGAATGGCACCCCAATGAACAGGTACAGAAGGTGCCAAAGGGGCCACATGCCGTGCATTGGTCTGGAAAAAAATTGTGCAGGTCTGGTTTATCTTCCGTTGGCAGCTCTTTATAAATGAATGGGCTGCTTTAACACAATTCATATTAACGAGAGAAATACCGCAATGGAATGGCTTAAGCTGGCCATACACCTTACAATTGTCATTCAATTTTTCCTGTCCCGTCATCTAACCCCCGTTAAATTTCTGCTTGGAAACCCCATCATGCAGAGACCAATGTTGTTTTCTATTATCGTTCGTTAGCAATACTAACTGTCCGAATTTAGTAGATCGTGCAGTGTTCATGTTGCGATTTTTGTTGTACGAAAACGCCACTAATCCATCAATTTTCGTCCGTCGACGAAGGTTATCTAGTCTGCCCGTTCAACCAAATTCGGCCAGTTGTACAGTAATGGCAACTTCCCATCAACTGGCCGATTATCATATTAAAAACGGATTGCATTCGTTTTTCGAATGATAATTGTAAGGTGTATGGGCACCTTATAATGTGAAGGGGTTGGAGCTCACTGTTTCTGTTCCATCAAGAACATACATTTCTTAGGGTGAATAGCGAACAATACCCAAGGTGCACAGTTATTATCGGAGTTTAAGTTTAAAATATGTAGTTCTCTTGTATATTTAAACCTCCCCTTTTCACCAATTCTGCTGCTTATTGCCATTGTTTCTGGAGAGGAAAAAGATCAATGATAGCCTTTGGTAGTGGTAACACGCCATGAAACGTTTCCTTTCCTTTGTATTTATCTGAGAAGTGTTCTCTGTCTTCTAGAGGTCTGTAGATGTTTCTCTTCTGGAGAGTGAGAAGAAGAAGCGCAAAGGAAAGAAATCCCAAAAGGTGAAATCTGAGTCTCGGGATGTAGATGACCAGATAAAGTCTGTTCTTATGAAAGGTAAGATGGTAAAGGTTGTTTTGTGGCAAGCACAAGTAAAAAATACATCCTTAACCCCAATGGAGACTCGGCCAACGGCCGTACAGTTCCTGGTTAATCTGCACTGTATTTGATTAATCCGCTATGGCTGCCTACGTGGATAAGGTAGTAGCTAACCTTTTATTTTTTTTCCTTTAACCCCAGGTAAAGGAAAAGCTATCGAGTTGCAGAGATCGTCTGTTCGGTTTGAGGATGTAGGAGGAAACGATGAAACCTTGGCGGTACGTTTTTCACTCCATGAAGTTTAAGTGGTTTGTGAGGTTTTTTTTAGGTGTTTGTCCTTTTAATACGAAAGCTTATGGACAAATATTCTGTCACTTTGCAGGAGGTCTGCAAGCTACTAATTCACATGCGTCACCCTGAGGTGTACCAGCACCTGGGCGTCGTCCCACCTCGTGGCTTCCTGTTACATGGACCTCCTGGGTGTGGGAAAACCTTACTGGCTCAGGCCATCACCGGGGTAAGTCTCTTACCTGTTGTTTTTCTTTTCTTTTTGTTCTTGGAACCATTTTCGAGTAGCATGACTAAGCTCCACATCATTAAGTTAAAAAAAATGCTTGTCCCTGGAAGTAAATTCGGTTGTTATACTTACAAAGCGAGCATCTGATGCCCGGCACTCAGGCACTGCCATTTCCACCTTGGTTTTTAAGAAGGAGCACTCCGTGTCATGAACCTTTAGTTTTAATTCAACGTATTTCCCTCATTTAACCCCTTCATGACTGAGGCCTTTTTTTCATTTTTTTGTACCCATGTTATATTCCACATTTTAGGCCTGAAAATTACTTAAAACCCCCCAACATTATATATTTTCTGAATGCCAAGACCCTATAGTATAAAATGGTGGTAGTTGCAAATTTTTATGTTGCGCAATATTAGCGCAACTCCTTATTAAACCCCAATATTTAGTGAAAAATTTAATTAAATGCCCCAAAACACAACAAAATACCCATTTTTTTTTAATGAAATATAAAAGATGAGGTTACAACGAAATTTTTTTATTATTATTAGAACAGGAAGGGGATCGATGAACGGAAGTTCATCGACCTCCTCCCCGCGGACACAAAGATCGCCGGTCCCGGGCCCGTAGGAGGGGCACGATCTGGCGACAGGTAAGTCGCCAGGATCGCTTCTGTTGTAAAGCCAACAGTCGGCTCTACAAGTTTAAACAGAGTCCCGGCGGCAAAAGTCACCGGGAGTCCGTTTAAACAGCCCCGATGCTGGCGACGTACACTATACGTCGTCAGTCACGAAGGGGTTAAAGCTTAATTTTCAAAGAAACCTGCATGTAAAACTGAGCTCCTGGGAAACAGAAAATAACAAGGAATTATCTATAAGGGAGCTGTTGTACCTGCTAAAGGATTTGTAACTCTTTGCATACTGTCCTGAAATGTATATAGCTCTGCCACACTCCATAGCCATGCCTGGCAGTGTAGGCGACCTGATATTTTTCTGCTCCCAGTTCAGTAACACTTACAGGTCTTGTCCCTCCCCCAGCTTGCTACACTTACAGGTCTTGTCCCTCCCTCAGCTTGTTACTGGACAGTCAAAGCAGAATCACCAGACTGATGTTTTCATCTCTGTCATTCTGCTTTTCCTCCTATCGACATGCTCTTTGCACTGCAGCATAGCTGATTGGCTCCTTGTGCTGCTTCTCCATCCCCTTTCCTCACTGTCTGAGCTCTGCTGTACAGGGACTGCAAAAGGCTAATACCAGGCCAAAATCCAGGTACTGATGTATTAATGAATTCAGAGCCTTTTATAACTGCCCGGTGTTTAACTTTAATTATGTTATTTGTTTAACATTTGCATTTTAGTGCCGGGAAAAAGAAAATGAATCTTGAAGCATACTGTAGATTTCTGCAATGCTTTTCCATACCAGGGAGCAACTCTAAACTCCACCTTTTAGGAGGTTTAAAGCACATTGTCACGTATTCTGAACATCACAACTGTCCTATGTACTTTGTGCTTGTGAGCAGACTTTTACGAGCAGCCATTGCCAGAGTGGAGGGGCTGGGCGTTGACTAAATAGACTTTGAGCTGTTGATCGCTGTCATTTGTGATTTGACAGTGATCTCCATATTTAAAAAAACAGCATTGCTAGAATTGCTTTGCAGAGCATTGCTTATTATTTACAGCTTCTGTTTTATCATTTCTAAATGAAATGGTCAAATTTTGAAAATACCTTTTTTTTTTTTTTTATTTATTTTTTTGCTTTAAAATAGTGGTCATGTGACTTGGCAATCCTTGCGGGACCACTTTGGTGGAGATGTGGGTCTGGGTGCCACAGTTCTGAAATAAGATATGGAGGCAATTCAACATATCATATCTTCCCTTTATCAGTCATTACATGTGTTCTGCACAAAGAATGAAGCAATCTGTTGTTTTTGAAACCGGTTGCTTTTTTACAGCTTTTGCATTCAATTTCTACTTACCTATGTTTAAAGACTTAGTAACCCCCAGAAGTATGGCAGATGTTCTGAGCTTCATCACTGGTTTTCTTCAATAAAACTAAAATAGTTATTTAATGTGCCCCTTCCAAAAAGTCTAGCTTAATGTTTAACTATAGCAACAATTAAAATGTACTGCAACGCTTCAGTGTAAATTCCAGTTTTCCCTTACTCCCCCTGCAAAGTCTTACCAATACCTATTGATCCTGCTACTGATGTCCACCTTGTGCATCTTCCTTTGATGGGGTTACAACGCTACTGCACTGCTTCTGAATCCAGAGCAGTGTTGTCATCCTCATTTAGGCTGTCCCTACTACTTGCACTACAGCAGGATGAGAAGACATTGGGGGGAATTTATCAAAACTGGAGCAGACTAAATCTGGTTGCAGTGCAAATCTGCTCCAATCAGCTTCTATGTCTCATTTTCAAATCTTACCTGAGCAAACTGAAAAGAGATGCTGATTGGTTGCCATAGGCAACTGCTCCCGATTCTCTCTGCTCCAGTTTTGATAAATTCCCTTAATTGTATGTTGTGTTCCCATTCAGCTAGGACAGTCTCTCTCTTTTAGTAAGAAGTCAAGTCTCCCTTTTAGTCAAATAGAGGCATCATTGGGCAGCCACTTTGGATATGGCAATGCAAATACTTGGTTGAGGTCCTGGCACAAAGGTGCTGCTGTGTGTGCTTATTTATTTAGTTGGTTGTTGGGCTATCCGGTAGCCAACACAAGAGGAAGTGCTGTTTCTGGCTGGATCTCTATGTAAGAAGCTTTGAAACAGTTAAAACACATTTTTGTAAGAAAACTTATTGAAAAATGAAGCCATACATAATGAAAAATAGATTTAGGGTCCATATACACTTTTAAGGCCATGTAGGGTGGCTATGTAACCATTTTATGTAGTGTGTTTTGTTGCTGGAATTCCACATTAATCCAGTTAGAGATTCTGGGATATGATGATAAAGCAATACCACAAAATTCACATGTAGGAAATGGGTAGTTCTTGATCCATTCAGTCATTCTCATACTTCCAGTAATCTTTGATTTCCAGGAGTTGGATTTACCAATGCTCAAGGTTGCAGCAACGGAGATGGTGTCTGGAGTCTCAGGGGAATCTGAACAAAAGTTGAGGGAACTCTTCGACCAGGCTGTGGTAAGGCCAATAATACTTTTCTGTCCCTTAATACTCAACAGTATTGTGCATTGACAAAGTTCATCTGAGGTTATACTGTACAACTAGGGCTGCAACAACTAATCGACATAATCGATTATAATCGATTATTGAAAAAGTTGTCAACTTTTTCAATAATCGATTAATCGTCTTCCGATCAGTTGGCCCTGTTCACGGCTCCACAACTGTGGTGAGGTCCATATGTCACTTTCTATTTATGTCCGTTTGTGCTCAATTTTATACTCTGACCAAACTGTGGTTAGAATGGCAAGGCTGAGATAAGAGATCTTTTTTGTTTTGGTTTACATATAAGATTGCTCTTGCCAACATGTGGTGAGCCTGGTTAATATAGTGACATGTTGTGTGATCCATTGACCAAAGTTTGAAATGTCATCCATTGGCCACACTGTGGTTGAGGTCTACATTTGGGTGCATACCAGTAAGGCTGATGTAGGATATATTCTGGTTTGCTGTGTTTTTCAAGATTCTGACTGATATCTGTAAAACTTCCTCCTTGCAACAGGAGCTGAAGAAAATACCCAGCAGTTTGGTGTGTTGGAGGAGCACCTTACTCTCCCATGGGAAAGTGGCGGCTGAAGTGGGCTGTCACAGGGGAGTCCATAGCCTTGTTTCAGCTATGATTCCAGTAACATGTAACTCACACATAGGTTTGCTTTTGCTCGCACCAGCAGAACAAAGCAGAAGACACATACACTATATTGCCAAAAGTATTGGGACGACGGCCTTTACACGCACCTGAACTTTAATGGCATCCCAGTCTTAGTCCGTAGGGTTCAATATTGAGTTGGCCCGCCCTTTGCAGCTATAACAGCTACAACTCTTCTGGGAAGACGTCCACAAGGTTTAGGAGTGTGCCTATGGGAATGTTTGACCATTCTTCCAGAAGAGCATTTGTGAGGTCAGGTACTGATGTTGGGCGAGAAGGCCTGGCTTGCAATCTCCACTCCTAATTCATTTCAAATGTCAGCGTTCTCAATTTGAGTCCTTCGGACTCCTCCTTTTTTGATGATTTTTTAAAATCTGCTTTTGTTGACAGTCCAAAAATTCACAGCCAGCCGAACAGGCAATTAGCTGCAGTCACTGTTTAGATATACAGTAGCCCAGGGATATTGGGGTGGATTCACCAATCTAGGCTGTTGATTGTGGATGGGGGAAGCAAGAGTCTTTTTCTTGTTTAGCCCTGAGAAAAAAACCTGGAGCATGGCCAGCTTTACACTTTCTGGTAGAGTGGAAAAAGGTTGTAACGTTGGCCATAATTTATTGCTATCTGAGTTCCAGTTGAGAATATTTCCTCTTTATCCTCTCTTAACGACAGTGGGCGCTGTGACAGGAAGCACGTGGAAAGCTCCCCAGTTGAGACACAAGAATGTATTAAAAACCTGCCATTGGTTCTGCCCCTTCTACATTCAGTCCAAAATGAATTAAGAAGAAAACTTTCGATGTTAAGTTGGACTTTTAGTTGCTAATATATGTTTTGTGTTTGAATATTTCAGAGCAGTGCCCCTTGTATTCTTTTCATTGATGAGATTGATGCTATAACCCCGAAGAGAGAAGTGGCTTCCAAGGACATGGAGAGAAGGATAGTGGCCCAGCTGCTCACCTGTATGGACGGTGAGTTAAATCTCCTTCATACTACTTGTGTCCTCCTGAGGTTTCTGAAAGAATAGTTCCCTGACCATTTTTTTTTTCAACCACCAGATTTAAATAACCTGGAGGTGACTGCTCAGGTTCTTGTTATTGGGGCCACCAACCGCCCAGATTCGCTGGACCCTGCACTCCGACGTGCCGGGAGGTTTGACAGGGAAATCTGCTTGGGGATTCCAGATGAGAAGGCAAGGAAGAGGTAATGCTGGAAAGACCACAATTCTCACTTACATTGGTAATGGAAAATCTAAAAAGGCTTAGCTGTCCTCTAGGCTTAGCAATGGGTACAGACCTTGTCCAGCTTCATTCCTTTGGACTCTTTTAATGAGGTGATTTTCCTGAGTTTGCACTTCACTCTCTGACATTTGGCTTCTAGTTTGGCATTTGCTTAATCATTTCTCCAGGAAAACAGTAAGCTTAATAGCAAATCTGCATGCAAATAACTTTAGATAAAGAAGAGATTTGAAATGTACTTTGACAAGGGCAATTTCCAGAGGTGCACCAACCTTGACTCTTAAAATTAACCCAACCTAACTAGCGCTGACGTGCAGGCACCATTAACCTCTTGCCGTCCGCCCGTTAAGAAAAAACGGATGGACGGCTGACTCCTATCTGCGGGTTGCCGTCGCCAGACGGCATTTTTTTCCTGCTCGCGCGCGCCCCCTAGCGCACGGGCAGGAAAGACCCGCTTGTTACTACAGCCGTTAACGGCTGTTTCACATACAACCGATCAGCGGCTCTATAGCCGCCGATCGGTTGTATGGCGTGAATTTCGGAGGCCCCCCCACGCGATTGCGGGTGCCGCCATCTCCCCCCTCCTGACCCCTCACAACCTTTGTGGTCCAGTGTAGCCCCTTGGTTGTACACAAGCCTGAACTTCTCTCCACGTCAAGATTAAAGTGTATGTAAATCCCAACAAATTACCTTCTCTTATTTGCTCCCTTTTTGATCTGTAATTATACCATTAAAAGTGTTTTATCACATCTGCTTGAGGAGTGCAAAAAATACCTGTTGATCCTGCCAGATACCACGTGTGTTCTGCAGTGTTATCTCTAGCAATGTTATCAGCTCTGCCTAGTACACCCTCAAAATCCCTGCAAGCTCAAAATTGCTCCCATTCTCATGCTCGGTGCTTTTCTCTCCAGAAGAACACCACCATCTTTGTACAGGCATCATCCAAGGTTAGCATCTAATTACTCGACTGGCATGCCATCTCAGAGATGGCATGATCATGTAAATCTTGGTTTCTAAGTAGCTGTTGGCCGTGATTATGAATGCTTACACACATCAGCCCCTGCTGCAGCCCTGTGACTTACTATAAAGTTACCATCTTGCAGTCTGGTCACTGAGGTAGAGGAGACTGAGGAAATGCTTCCTCCTGCCTAAAGCAGACTGATGACATAATTTCAGCCTAAGCAATGTCACTAAGAGCTGTTTAATAAGTATGTGAAAGTTATTCATATAATTGTCTCTTGTTCTTTATGTAATCCTGCACAGGATTCTGCAGACCTTGTGTCGGAAGTTAAGGCTCCCTGAATCCTTTGACTTGCAGAATCTGGCTCACCTGACACCAGGGTATGTCGGCGCAGACTTGATGGCACTTTGCCGGGAAGCTGCGATGTGCGCTGTGAACAGAGCATTGATCCAGCAGCGGGAATTTAAAGGGAATGCGGATTCAACAGAACAGAGCCCTCCGCTGGAAGAAACATCTGAGTTAAAAGTCCACAATGGACAACCCCATCAGGTACACTTCCAATATATAAGCATTGAAGCTGAACTGCAGCCAGCTATAAAAGCCACACATTAAGCAGCTCTGTAACTGTTAAGTTTATATTTTTAAATACAAGCATTGTAAGTACCGGAGTTTAGAATGGTATCGGCCTCTTGCATTCTCCAAAGTAGGGCTCATATTGGGTTAGGGAGTAGCAAAACAAGGAGCCAGTCAATTATACTGCAGTGCAAGGAGCATAGTGACTGAAGAAGAGAGCAAATGACCCAGAAAGCTCATCATTGTGATGCTTCTCCTTTCACTGTCCAGTCACAAGGTGGGGTTGGCAAAGTAAAATTGCATTTAGCCAAGATCAGGTCCCCTCCTCTGGTAGACAGGACTGCCTTGTGTGGCAGAGCTATGTTAATTACTTTGGTCACATTTGTGCAACTCCCCTTTCATTAAGGGGTTAACGCTCACTCGGCTGTCTCTTTCTGCAGGATGAGCTGCAACGACTACTGGAGGTACTGAAGGAGGAAACCCCATTTCCCGAGGATCAACTCCGGGGCCTCTGTATCGAGATGTCTGACTTCCTGAATGCCCTACCTTCTGTACAGCCCTCTGCCAAGAGAGAGGGTTTTGCCACGGTGCCCGACGTGACCTGGGCTGACATAGGAGCTCTGGAGGAGATCCGGGAGGAGCTGACAATGGCCATATTGGTGAGTTCAGATGTGCTTGGTGACTGCTTGCAGTAAATTTCCACTGATGTAAAATATGCAAACTTATCCTCACTCATAGAGAGAGAGTAGAAAGGTTCTCCAGGAAAGGGTCAACTCTTTCCACTCATATACTGAGAAAGGCTGCCTACGGATTTATCTCCTCTCATTGACTTCAACAGGAGAGCAGTGGAATGTTTGCAGTTTGAACACTTATCTGAGACCATCTGTACACAGACAGACTGGGAGTTAAAGTGGACCTGTGTTGACATTCAGTGTTCAAAAGCTGCAGATAGACACTTAAGGTGCTTGACTGTAGAGTCTCATTTTTGTAGACCTTCCTAGAAGTTACGTTACTGACATGTGCAGTCCTGTAAACTGAAAGTGTGTGTTGCTGCGGAGATAAAAGATAAGATAACATTTACAATGCCTGATGTTTTACCCTTTATGGGTAAAGTACAAGTTCACTTTGAGACTGGAGCTTATTTTAAAAGTAGCAATATGGTCATAGCCGAACGGACGGGTTTTTCCTGCCTGGAAAAAAAATGCCGTCTGGAGACGGCAGGAGGTTAATGCATGACCAGTCGAAACAGTTACCCATTAGCTTCTTGGTAGTATTAACTTAAAACTGACCTCCATTCTTACCTTCACTCTTATACGGTTTAACAGTCTTCTCTCCTGGACTGAAATTGCTTATTTTAATGTACACTGTGAGATTCTCATAGCATGCGTTAGATGCTGCAGCAAGTCAGACAGAGTCCACCTTATTTCCTGGCTGTAGGACGTCCTAGCTCTATCTTATTCAGCCTGACTGTCCCTGGCCTGGTTGCGTAGCCCCTCCCAAGAGCCAGCCCACTGTTTGAATTACGGCTGAGGGGGTCTTGAGAGTAAAATTAAGGCAGGATGCTGTGATGTTTTGGGCAAGTTATGTACAAACACCCTGATTGCCCCTAGCAACAGCCGTGATCTGCCTACATTGCATACAGACACATGATGAGGTCACTGGGTCTACAATAAAGTATGTCATGAAAATGTAAAGGTTATATTTAAAAAATTTCAGTATGTTGCTGGGCGGGGTGGGGTTCTGTGGAGTTTAAGTGATTTTATTGTTTTTATTTATTTTTTTTCTTCCAGGCTCCAGTAAGGAATCCAGAACAATTCAAGGCTCTGGGCCTTATGGCTCCAGCTGGTGTTTTACTTGCAGGGCCCCCTGGCTGTGGAAAAACCTTGCTTGCAAAAGTAAGATTATCTTTGTCTTTTATGTGTTTTTATTAAGCAGAACAAAATCCTGCAGTTTCCCCAGCAGTGTGCGCTTTGTGACGTAAAAGTCTGAAAATGAAAAATATTGACTTGGTGGGAAAAAATACATAAGCCTCATTGCAATCGTATTATTATGCTGTAGTGGGGGTCTCTGTATGTATGTGTAAAGGGGTAAATAAAAATGCGGTTTTCTAACAAGTTGTATTATTTATTTTAGGCAGTTGCCAATGAATCTGGACTTAATTTTATCTCGGTGAAGGGTCCTGAGCTTCTGAATATGGTGAGTTTTGTACACCGTAGATCCTCTTATCACATCCCAAATAGACTGTTAATTCCAAAATGAAATTGGTTACACCTTCATTACAGAAAAATGTGAAGGCCCACTCTCTAAAGAGGCACTGTCATCTGCAAATGCAGGTCCAAGTGACTGTTCTCCTGCAAAGAACACCCCTTCCTTTTATACTCATTTTACCTGCACTTCTTCACAGCTCCTTGCTCCTCTATAGCCAGGAGAATACCCGGCACATCTTGAGTTTGGGGAAGTATGTGACCTGCTCCCCTGTGACGGTGCCTAGGCCTAGCAGCCATTCACTGAACTGTCACATAACCTAGAGAATGATGTCGCCACACTCCTGTGTCACCAACGCAGCGGATTTCATTGCCAGCTGTGAAGGATGAAGGTGCTTTGAGTGAGCACAGATAAGGTTAAGTCTAAGTGGGTCAGGGATGTGCTTTGCAGAGACACAGTCACTTTGCCCTCCATCAGTCAGTCAGCGCTGGAGGATCGGAGCGGGGAGGGGGGAATCCAGCTCCTCCCCTGTCACCGCAGAGAGCCGTGACAGGATCGAGAAGTAAGCGAACGCCGTAGGCGTTCGCTCACTTCAAGATCTACTGAGCCGACCTGTGACAGTCTCATTGTCACAGTTCGGCTAGAACTATGAGGTGAGTGAAAAGGAATCGCCTCATACTTCTCCTTTAATGAAGCAAAAAATATTTTCTTTTTACCTTGCACCATTATGGAGTTTTTCTAACTTATAATCCCGATGACATCATCACAGGGTCTCTTTTAGAAGTAACCCTAGCTGAAGTCAGTGGGAGGGGCTTCCAGGAAACCCTTTGTGTCTTCCTGTTCAAGTTGGAGTCCCTATGAGAGCTAGTGGGGGCAGGACTGTGGGCTTCTGCATAGTCAGTGACAGGAAAGCAACACACTCCCCTGTCATGTCTATAGCATACTTCTGTACAACAAAGAAAAGCTGCAGTTTGTCTTTCTATAATATGCAAATCAGATAAGCACATAAGGTTTCGTACCCTCCTTGTAAAGATCATTCACAGTGTCACACTCGCACATAAATAAAACAACGGTTTGCTCTTCTCCTGCTTTGACAGCATTCAGATCCTATTTCACCAAACCTTTTTCCATTCCGCTAATAAATTGTTCTAAACAGTATTGGCTGAACGGAGAGAAAATTTGCTGTGGTGAAATACAACCTGAATACTTTTGCAGCAGGAGAGGAGTGGACAGTTGATTAATTTACGTGCAATTTTGAGACTGTAAAAGTTGCTTGAGCAATCTTCATCTGCTTTTGACTGAATTTGGCACGGCTCTGCAGTGCAGTCTGTGTAGGAAAGTGTCTGCCTACAATGCTAGCTGAGTGAGAGGCAAAGCAGGTGTTACACAGCCAGTGGTGGCATCAGCGCTGTCACAGAGGGCAGTTAGAAGACCCGGTTGGCTAGGAGTAGGCTGTGGTGATCAGTCATATAGATAGGAGATAGGTGCATTCTGTCTGTGTCAGAAGGCAACCTATTCAGTTAATGGGGGGAGTGGGAGTATTAAATATTAACGGCATGGGCCTGTGTATAACAACTTCTGTTGCGTCTGCAGTTCAGCTTTAAATAACACAAATAATACTGTATAAGTACCTGAAGTGTCTGCTTATATTAGTTATACACCTAACATCTGCATGATTACTCAGTTAGGTAATTACAATTAAATAGTTTTTTTCAGTGCAGTAACTGTCTGCAACCAATAAAATCACCTTTATGCCAACCTACAGCAGCCCAAAATGTCCTCAAAGGAGAAACCAGCTATGCGCAGAGCGTTCCAGTGTATTATTAAAATCTTTATTGTTGCAGATACACGCCCTGCCTTGGACGACCTTGTTTGCCGAGTTTCATCCCGGGATGGCCTTGATTTCGTAGACAAGATCTTCTCTATGATTAAGCCCATCCTGGTGTAAAAGGTGTCAGAAGGAGGGAGGTCCTTGCTGGGGGCTTTGATCTGTATGTGTCCGAGCGCTGGAATGCTTGGTGTGCAGCAAGTTTTTCCTTTGTGAACTTGGTTATGGGGAGTCCCACTGCCAGGAGGATGAGCCTCTGTGGGCTTGGGAGTGGCATCTACCCAGTCCCTAGGAACCTCATATATGAATGGTGGTGCTGGAATTGTACAGAATAAGTTTACTTTGCATCACCTTCTTAAATAGGCTGTCTAGTGTTTATGCCTTCAATCTGCTTGTTTTCATTTCAGTATGTTGGTGAAAGTGAGCGAGCTGTTCGCCAGGTTTTCCAGAGGGCTTCTAACTCCTCCCCCTGTGTAATATTTTTTGATGAAATTGATGCTTTGTGCCCTCGACGGTCGGGTCATGAGGTGAGGATTATTTCTTTTAAATGTATGAGGTTTATGCTAATTTACCATGCTCCTTTGCAGTGAGCCCATCAATTTAAATGTTTAAAGGGAACATCCTTTCTAGTAGAGGAGTTTTCTGGCTAATGAAGGTAATAAGAGACACCACAATATAGCTGACAGGTTCACTTGAAAGGTTTCAATGGCGCCTCTTGGAAAGACTGTAGGTTTCTTGCTATTTTGTGCTGGACAGTTTTCTCTACACTGGCCAGGAGAGTTCCCGTCCTCAATGGTTTCACCAAGACAGATGGAAGCTGTTACTTTTATGGTGGAGGACGTTTGCTCCACTTTAAAATTGGAGGACAACGCTACTCCCTTTTCTATTAGTGTCTTGTCTCAGCTCCCATAAACCAAAACGCTCCACAAAAGAGTTTCCATCATTCAGTGTTTGATGATTTTATTCGCAAAAATTGGAAACATCCTGACAACAATTGGCTCACTATGAAGCAGGCTGCATAGAACATGAGCTCCAGCACGATCAATCCTCTTGAAGCTACAATCGGCACTTAGTTTTCAAATATGGGGAAGATTGGGAAGCCCCCTGTACCTCGGAGGTCCCTGACCTCTTAACTGGGCAAAACATGGCAGAAATCCTAGGATTAAAGAGGCCTAAAGCAACCAACCGTGTGTACAATATGGCGTGTCCAGCCTCTTCAGAGACTCCACAGTGAGGTAGCCTGGAAGCATTGACAGTAGTGGAAACAAACACTATTATGTACATACACCAGCTTTCTACTAGATTGGAACTTACCTAGATTGTAGCAGACATTAAGAAGTTCCACAAAAAGCAGTGTCTGAGATCTGCAGGGCCTGGTAGGGAAGTTGGTGGAGGTAGAAAGAGCTGGCAACCACAGTGATGTGACCCTAAAAGGCCTTCCACCACATGCAATCTCAGCATATGAACACCTTGCTTGATATGCACAGACACATAAAATTTGATGAGTGCTTAAGGCCCCATTCACACCTAAGCGTATTGAATATGCACGTTTGTTGCGCGTTTTTACCGTGATTCGCGGTAAAAAAAAGCGCGACAAATGCGCGTTTCCGAGGGCTACTTGGCTGTATCCCAATGGAAACGCGCGACCAAAACGCCCCAAAGAAGTACATGTACTTCTTTGGGCGTAGGCCGTTTTGTAGCGCTTTCAGACGGGCAGAAATACGGAAAGGTGGGAACCATACCCATAGAAAACAATGGGATTTTCATGTTTGTTTGTTTTGTAGAGCGTTGAACGCGCGACAAAACGTAAAGGTGTGAACAGGGCCTAAGACTAAATTATTGCTGTTACCAATATCGCACCCAATACACAGAGCAACTCTCCCACGGTAGGGGTAGAAGTCTCAACTGTAACTCCGAACTCCCAGTTAAAAGTCCCATCCATCTAGTCACATTTATCAGACTATCAATATCTTTAACAGTAGTCTGGAAAGTCTCTAGCTTAAAGATACAACCTCTCAGGGACAAATACTTTCCTCCTTTTCCAAAAGGAGACTCCTGTCATTACTACCCTTGTGCACTACCTACCCTACCTCTAATCCACAACTTTTCTTTCAATCACTTTCTGGGGAGAAGGGGGTTCCCCTTCCCCCTCTATTTCTCTCTCTCTCTGCCCCCCTCCTTCAATCCTACCTCCTACTTGGTTGCCCACCATTACCCTCTCACACCTAGAGTACTACAAACAGCTTACATTCAGGTAATGGTCTTTTGATCCCCACACAGATCTATAGACACACAAAAGGAAGTTTACCCTGAAAATTGCTTACCCAACCCTAAAGGGTTTAAACTCTCCAGCAAAAAAAAGACATTAGTACAGAGAGAAATGGGTGCGTAAAACACCTCTATTACATCCAAGAAACTCAATTTAACCTCGCCATCTAACAAAGTGAAATTGGTTTCGATCCTAATCCATAACGCAATACATTTTAACATAAGTGCAACTTTTGAGATATTCGGAAGTAAGGTTCATATTTGAATACTGGCCAAACCGACTTAATGAGTCAGATGATATTCAGACTACTAGAATTTGCAGATGGGATGTTGGTCCTAGGAGGAGACCTTAAGTACAATATCGACTCCCTTTTGGATGCCTCAGACCAAAAAAATATCCATCCCCTACAAAAACCTCAACCACATGAAAAAAACTATAGTCTTTGACACTGATTGGCATACACTAAATCCAAATGAAAGAAACTACATGTTTTTCCCTCATGCACATTCTAAATATTCTAGACTTGACTCTGTCTTTATTACTCAGAGATCTACCTAAACTTTAGTCTGATACCATAGGCCAAATAACTATATCAGACCATGCCGAAACATTCACAACCATAGGACCTCCCAATACAGGAATTGAAACAACGGAACTAGAGACTCAGCTTGTCACGTCTTTGAGACTTTGCAGTTACCTGCAAAAAAACAAGGCTTTAACCACTTGCTGACCGGGGTGTTTATACCCCCTTCCTGTCCAGGTCATTTTTCAGTGTTCAGCGCTGCAGTACTTTGACTGACATTTATTCCGTCATGCAACGCTGTACTGAAATGAATTTTATACCATTTTTTGGGGACAGATAGAGCTTTCTTTTGGTGGTATTTAATCATCACAACTGTTTTTTTTTTTATTTTTTTACTATATAATGAAAAAAGTACCGAAAATTTTGAAAAAAAACATGTTCTCCCTACGTTATGTTATAAAACATTTATTATTACCCAATTTTTTGGTAAAATATACGTCGGGTAAATAGACACCAAACATGTCGAGCTTTACAATTGCACGCACCTGCTAAATCGCAACAAACTACCATACCCCAAATTGACCATAGCCGACGCTTTAAAAGCTTTTACCGCTCATCAGTTTAGTGTTATCAGTGATTAATGGCCCTAAAATTATTGCTCTCATTCCGACGTTCGCGGCGATATGTAACGTGTGGCGCAATGGATGTAATCGTCGTTTTCGCACGTAGGTGGACTCGACGCATGTTTACGTGGGGGCGTGGGACTTAAATTTTTTAATTTTTTATTGCCTTGATATAAAAACACAAATAGTACGGACAGCGCTCTCGGATTGAACCTGGAGAGATTGTGTGACCCTAAATAGCATGCAGCCCTGAGAACCAGGAGGAGTACCTGTAAATGGTTATTTTTGAGCTTGAGAAAGAGGTGTCATTCCTCGAAATGCGTTGCTCCTGACCTTCACCCATGACAGTCACTGACCCGACCATTCGTCACCCCGCTGGCTTCCCTGCTGGCTCCCTTCTATTGCCGTTATTACGGCTCGGGCACACCGCTAAGTATCGATCCACACACAGACTGAGCCGCACCATCCACAGCTGCGGCCACAGCAGCACAGCCAGACTCCATTCTTGCACACTGCTCAAATCTCTCATTCCAGTGGCAGGAAGACGGACCAAATCCTCATTCCGCCATCTGCCCCCCGTCCACATTACTCCTGTCCCTCTCTCTCTCTCTCTCTCTCTCTCTCTCTCCCCCCCTTGGGACGAGCAGCCTTAGGCAACACATCAGCCGCCATTGAACATACACTTTGGACATCCTGATCCTCCTCACAGGCCGGTCCCCATATGGTCCCCAGACTCAATCCATTTGAGCATTTGTGGGACGAAGTTGAAAGAGCCATCAGGCAGCTGGTTCCACAGCCATCAAATCTCACAGAACTGGACAGTGCTATTCATCAGGCATGGTGTCAGATTCCTCGCATCACCTTTCAACATCTCGTGGAGTCAATGCCAAGAAGTATCGCTGCAGTATTGAAGGCAAAAGGTGGCCCAACGAAGTACTGATGGGGTGGTCATAATAATCTGGCCACTCAGTGTATATCCAAATTCGTAGGTGGAGAAATGGACTTAATCCAAAGTATTCCTATTACATGCTCAGGCAGGCTTAGTATATCCATAAAAAAATCCCTCAGGAGCCACCTAATAAATGCATCCAGGAGTGTTATGCCTAGACATTGGAGATTACCACACCTCAAAGCTGACGTAATTGGTGTCCCGGGTGAACTGTGTGAGAAAATGGAAGAAATTGTGCTCATTAAACAGGATAGGATTTCTGGTTTCCACAGTAACTGGTATTGCTGAATACATATTAAAATAAGCCAATATTTTTTTTAATCTATTACGTAGACCAGAGGAATATGAGATAACACCACCAGATGTATACGTCCGATGTGTAGGCTACAACTATTAGCAGAGAGAAGTAGGAGTAAGCACATGGCGATCCTGGAGGTGGTGGGCAGAGAAGCAAGGGAAAGAATTGGAACACCAGACTGGCACCCCACCATATATTCTTACCCAGCAGTTTCTCCCTCATGCCTCACTCCCATTGCCCCCACACACGTACGCTTTTTTTTATTATTATTTACTCCCCATCCTTAGTTTTCCTGTGTCAGGAGCCCAGGGAGCACAATGGGTAGCCTTTGTCCTCATAGGATCAAATTATTGCCTCAGGAAGTCAAGTAACCCCAATCCCCTATCGTTAACACACACGCGTGAATATCCAGGTTTGGGTGTTTACGTTTTATTTTAATATTTTAATACCATCATCCTCTGATTGCATAATATGTTGTCATATCACAATGTCATTTGCATATTGTCTAGGTCAGTGGTTCTCAACCTGTGTAACCTCAGGACCCACTTTTGTCCTTGGTCATTAAGTTGAGACCCAAGTCGCATTGCAGTGAAACGCACGGCATTGCGGCACCGCGCGTTTCGGTGCCAGCGATTGAACTGCGGGCGGGAGGTGCGTTTGGGGAGCCATTAAAATGAATGACAACACAACCCACCTCCCACACCAGAGTGCGTAGTAGGTGCGATTGCATGATACAGTGTGTTAATGGCACAGGACTGTTTGATTAACGCACTGTGAATGGGCCCTCAAAAACCCTGACAAACACACAACCACAGGCACAAACACATATACACTCCAAAAACACATATATTTTTTTCTTAAGGTCCACCCAGTCTCCCTACCTTACGAGAACTGGAGTGGATCCTCAGCCTGGTGCTGGTGGAACAATTGCGCACCCTATAGAGATGCCAGAATGTGACAGCACTGTGGTCCAGGGGATGTGGGGAAGCTGTAAGCAATGCTTGTATGGATGGAGCTCCCTCACGGCCATAGCTCCAGACCTCCCCACCTTAAGCGGACACTCGGTTCCGAGCAGTATATGAATGGCTGCTTGGCGCAAGAACTGACAGTGCTGCGCTAGGTGTAGTCTAAGACACCTTGCAAATAGAAAAGTGGAAAGCCTGAGGCTACCCCACTGAACATGGGGTCGCGATCCACCATTTGAGAACCAAGGGTCTAGGTCTTTGTGTATTACTTTATAGCATTTTCAGAGTTTTACATTATTGTTAAAGTTTGGAGGATTAAAATAGAAACCATGTTATTACCCATTTATTTTTTTACAGTAAATATTGTCAGAGGCCACACAGTGCCACCCTCCGCTTTTTGTGTTTGAGAGACAGGTAGACTTTAAGAAAACATCCCGCCTTTTGCTAAATATGTCAGTGAAAATGGCTTGTATTAATACATTTACGTACAGCTGGGACATAAGCTGTACAAACACCACATTATGTAAATACATTTTCTATGAGCAGCGAGCTTAACCAGATCAGTTTTTATTGTAATGGGTAAATAATAGCATACAATGGAGGCTGCAAACAACTGCTTAAAGGATAGGAGACAGAGTGATTGTAGATGGAGCATTTAGATTGCACTAATGTCGGCAGCAATATACTGCAAGAATTGGTATTCAGCCTACGACTTTATTTTTTGTTTTTTAATGACTCTGGTGGATAGAATAAAAAGTAAGTTTGCCATGTTAAGAATGATGTACAAAGCTCAGCAGTATGAGAATATGAGCATCACAGATTATTATTATTATTATTACATAGTATTTATATAGCGCCAACAGTTTGCGCATCGCTTTACAATGTAAGGAAGACATTACAATACAATTCAAGACAGTATGGTAAGGAGGGCCCTACCCCTGAGGGCTTACAATCTGAAAGAGGAGGGGGAAATGATACATGAGGAGGTAGCTGTGTGGGGATGAATTCTTTGAGAATGTGATGGTTCAGTGGTTATGTTGAGGATGGATAGGCTTTCCTGAAGATACAATTTGATGTTACCAAAGCCATGGTAAAAGTCCCCTATACAGGAAATTAAATGTATTTTTTCCTCCAAAGGTCTAAATATCTCAACCCAGGAACAATTTTTTTTTTCTTGTCTATTGGGGAATACAGGAATTCAGAATTAATTGGGGTATACTGCCTTCTACGAGAGGAGTGGACACTGGCAAACACTGAAATTGTAAGCCAGCCGCAGGGTAACCTCTACCCAGCATGCCTCTGTTTTTTGCTTGTGTCCTAGGAGGATGGACATCTTTCCTTCAGCTTTGCTGAGAAAAATCGAACTAGTCTTTGCTAGCCTTTTTTTGCTTTACATTTGTTTATTTTTTTTTGGCTTTTTCTATTGACTTCAGTTAAGATTGCTGCTTGTGCTGATCTCCACATAGCAGCTATTCGGAATGCTGTACCAGGACCCTGCAGGACTGGACATGTAAGCTTTCCACAATTTTTATGTACTAGTAAAAGTTATACTTGGTGTGCTTTCTAGATCCGGAACCGTGGCATTGCCGCTTGGCCTCTATGGACCCACTCTTTTGAGTAGGGCACTCAGTAGCTACCTCAGTATTTGCACCATGGACAACAGTCAAATTTTTCACGAATGTCATTCCTACCGCGGAAAGGGTTAAACTCTACCGTGCAGAGGGACTGAGCACTGATGTCATGAACTTGGTTGAGTGTCGCGTGTGCTCCTTTTTTTTTTTCCCCCCACCATTCAGCTTAGAGGATTCACCATACAGCTGTAGCTCCTACTTTGCAAAGCATCATGTGGGACTCGGTACACATTAGTTTTCCTTTTCTAAGGTTTATTTTTTCTTTGTCAGTCCTGCCAGTAACACACTTTCTGTGCACTAGAAATTGCAAAGATACCCCACAGGTTTTTTTTATATGTATATGTACTGAGCCTGAAAAAGAAAGCTACTGCAGCCATCACATCGAAGAACTCGTAAGCTGCAATATATTACATTATTGTTTTGGTATTTCAATATCCTTTAACTACAAGACTTTGGTGTTCTAATTCTATGCAGTACTTTCACAGAAACCTATAAGTAATAAAATTGAGCTTTGCATGTTTTATACATAGTCACTAATGGGCATAAACACTAGCAAGGGTTATTATACCATGCAGTAATTGCACACAGGATCTCCTAATGGTTCTTGCGTGCCCTGTAACTCGTATTATAGACCTGCCCCTTACTGAAATTGGTACTTTAGTGCAATATAATTGTCTAAAAATAAGCAAGTTTACAATGACTGTGTGTTACAGCTTTATGGATATATACATTTTGTCATGCCCGACTGTGTGTTACTGCTTTTTAAATTTATACTTTTTGTCATGCCTGGACAGAGATGACATTATTACACGATAAGTGCATTTTCCAAGTAAACCAAGTACACTTTAGCCTCCCTCTCCATATGCCTACTTACCTCTACCCCGTGGCCCCTTGTATTGTAATTGAACAAATCTTTTCTGCATTGGCTGTGTCTGTTCAGTAGAACCCTGATAGACTTCTATGGCGTGGTGTCATATGGAAGACTATGGGGATTTAAAGCACAGGCCCATTCCAGCACAAAGAGGGTTTTACTGAAGGGAATTTTGATGCTGCATATTGGGGGTCATGTTGCTGTCATTCCACACATTGTCATCTGCCCACACGTGCTCGAATTTATTTTTCTCAGACTTGTTTTCTCTGGTCTTTCAGTCCGGAGCCAGTGTGAGAGTTGTTAATCAGTTGCTGACTGAGATGGATGGACTGGAAAGTAGACGTCAAGTGTTCATCATGGCTGCCACTAACCGTCCAGGTATGCTACAAAGCTGTTAAATAGAAATCTACTCAATCTTCTATGTTAACCTCCTTGTTCTTTTACTGGAGGGGTAAGGTTGTACTATTGTATATCTTTGCAGACCTCTGTTTACATGCCGTGGCAGTCCTTAAAAATGATCTTGAGGCTGAATGCAAGCGCTAATTATATCCAGCAAACACCACAAATGTGTCAAAATAAAAAAAGGCCACTCATTTTACTATTTATTCTGAGTGCTATGTAATGCTGTGTAAAGTCTGCAAGCTTTTATGTAGGCTTCTGGATGGTTCCACAGGCTGTTGAGAGGTGATAAGCACACTGAAAGCTCCATTCTTTCTTTGAGAAACAGCAATGGTCCCACAGTGGGTGGGTCTGGGAACACTCTGCCTGCAAATTGGCAGGCTCGGGCTCTTCCCTATACATTGCACTACCAGAAACAAAGGCAGTTGGGTTGATCTGGTATTCTACTGCTATGCTCGAAGAAAAGCAAACTCTAGGAAGGTAGGCAGTGACTGTTCATTAAAAAAAAAAAAATAAGGCTTAAGAATAGCCCCCTGAAAGGACTGGATATGAGAGTAGTCCCCTGAAAGGACTGGATACGAGTAGTCCCCTGAGAGGACTGGATATGAGTAGTCCCCTGAAAGGACTGGATACGAGTAGTCCCCTGAGAGGACCGGATATGAGAGTAGTCCCCTGAAAGGACTGGATACGAGTAGTCCCCTGAAATGACCAGATATGAGAGTAGTCCCCTGAAAGGATTGGACATTGGTGTTCTTCACAAAAATTATTGTATCTAGACATCATGGGAGCTCTATAGGCACCCCCTGGCTAACTTTGTATCAACACAGAAGCATCCTATAACAGTCCTTGCCCATAGACATTTAGAGTGCAGTCAATCTTTCCAGCAGCACTCCATATACTTGCAAGGTCCGCTGTGCTGGATCAATGCAGAGGGACAAAGTGAGTAATATTAGGCAGAGGTTGTCAGCATTGCTTATCACTGGAGAGAACAGTATTATTCAGGACCTGATTGATGTACTCGTTGGGTGGACAACTGGCAAGCTTGATATTACCCGATCCAGCCCCTATGGTCACCTTTAGTCTCATCTTTAGGCTATATCATTATGTTCTCAACATTTTGCAAGGTGAAGTCTAGTGTTTTATCTAATTTTGATTTTACATCAGGGAGAGGCAGAGACAAGTTTGTACTGGTGGCACGCTGCAACAGAACCAGTATTTCCTTTAAAGAATGAGCTTTTATATGAAAGTGATTTTATAATGGAATATATTGAACAGAGCCAGAAAACCTACAGCACAAGTTAGCACATGGTACAAGAGCTATCAATATTATTCATAAGCATGTGTGAAAGTCCTGATAGCTGTATAAAAGCTGACACATTTGGCATCCTGTTTGATTGACATGAACCTCAAGAGGGTCCATTGTTCTAGATAAGCCTTTTTCAACCAACCACTTTTTTCTAGGGGTGCCTTGAAATTTTCATACAGTGTTGTGCCTTTCCATTGAACTGGCAGGCTATTAGCACCATTGAAACAAAAGGCGCTAATCGAGGGAGGGTGGGATCCATTCAGGAAACAATGGAAGTTCACTTCTGTCTAGGCCTGCTGTGCCTCCCACCCTCTGCCATGATCCCGCAGCTGACACTCCTGTTGTGATGGTAGGACCCTGATATGAAGGGGGCTTCTGATGTGATGTGAAGGGAAGGGGGGCAATCTGACACGAAAGGGACGGGCACTTAAAAGCGGACCTTTAACTAAGAGTCAACTAAAAAGAAAATCTATAGCTGCTCACGTCATGCACTGTATGAGGCCATAACCTGGGACCACAGTGTCGCACTCAGTCCCTGGCAAAAGTGCTGGAACGCTGCGTAGTGTACGCACTATTAGGTTTTTGGTTGGCTACAGCACCAGGAAGAAGAGTTTGTTGACAACGGAGGTCTGTAGTTATACTGCACGTTTTGGTGAGCTAAGAAAATGAAAGGTGGGTAGAGGTTGTTTACCTCTTAAAGCAACTTTAATGCAAAATTTTAAAAAATCACTGCCGACATTGACCACATGGTCCACCCCAGATCACATCCACCCATGTCTATAATTATCAAGCACACATCCTACAGTCCTACAATACCTTCAGAAATGTGGTATTGGTATGTTACTCACATATGTCTCTCTTCTCTTCGATTACCGATTTGTTGTTATCTGAATACGTGTTTGCAAACCCAATAAAAACTGTTGAAAAGAAAAAAAATCATCACGTTGTGGGCATAGAATCTTCAGCATTCAGCACACTTCTGGGTGTGTCGGATGCCTGATACCCCACTGCACAATGTTTTACCACCTTCCAGACGCTGCATCATTATTGTGTAGCTGTAGTAACATAGTGGACGGCAGATACAACCATATGGGAGTAGGGGGATGGAGCACATTATCTGTACTGTGCTGGCAGATCACATTATTAGTTGTAAATTAGATTTGGACACTGTCTGTCCTAACAAAGGGTTAAAGAACTCCATTATATGTTCATTAGAGGAAAATTAGTCTGTCCCCATCTTTTCCCTCTAAACTGTACATAATAGCTTGCAGTTTGCCCAAAGGCCTGCTCCAAAGACAATTAGACAATTTTTAGGTATGTTGTGTGAATGGGAGCGTATACCAATTTATTGAGGTTTCTTCCCAAATTTGACTGCAAAAGTGCAAATACACTTTTTAAAGGAGAATTATGAGGTGAGTGATTTTCACTCAGCCTCATAATCTGAGCCGACCTGTGACAATGAAACTGTCACAGGTCGGCTCAGTAGATCCGGAAGTGAGCGAACACATACCGTCGCTCGCTCACTTCTCGATCCTGTGCCGGCAGAGAGCCGCGATAGGGGAGGGACTGGATTCCCCCTTCCCCTGTCCGATCCTCCAGCACTGACTGGCGGAACGGATGGGGGAGGGGCGGGTACAGCTGGCTCTGCCTCTAGATAGGCAGAGACAGCTGTCACTCACGCAGCTGGGTGGATCCAGACATAATTGTTGGGATCCGTTCCGGCTGCGGCCCAAATACTCTGTATCTGCACTGATAAATATCGGTGCATCCTTACTATCAATGATCACTTATTACATAGGCTTAGATAGTGAAATGTTTAGATGAAAGGGCGAGCTGCCGGATACGTTGTACACTACAAACATATCATTATCCAAATAGCTCAGTACTTGGTGCGGACTAGTACATGATTAGGTGGTTGTAACGGCAAAATGGCATACTGTCAAACATATAAAGAAAAACTATCAAATAAAACAAAAAACGCCCTCCAGTGCTGTTGCATAAAAAGAGTATTAAAATGTATTGAAAAATCTGCTGAGCAACCTGAAATGTAATTTTATGCAGTTTAGGATTAAATCCAGCAGAATTTGTTTTATGTAGTGATTGCGCCTCTGACATGCTTGCTCCTTCACTGATAGATGTACATTTGAGCAAGCCTAGCATCAAGACGCATGATAGCATATTTGTAATTGCAACACTCCCAGAGGTTCTCACAGCCACAGACCTGACTCCCGAAGAGAGATGCATCATGGGATTTGTACTTTCACCACAGCTGGAGGGCCGGAGGTTTGCTACCCCTGATGTAAAGCATGGGACCTCTGCAGTTCTTGGCTTTATTTATATGTGTGTGGAACAGATCAGCCATTGCTGCATCCTTTCACCTTGTGACTTGCAAATTTACAATGTAGAGTCTGGTCACTGGGGGAGAGGAGACTAAGAAAATACTTCCTTCCACCTGCAGCAGAATAATATCCTCTCTGCCATTTCAAATAACATGGCTATTTTTTCTGTGTGTGATTTCAGTGGTACAGTTTGTACGATTCTTTAGTCTTACTTTCTCTTTGGGTCATGGTTGCTTCGTATGTAGCATTGTTGACTTCAGTTCACACCAGGCACACTATCTGCATGCTGTTTGCATGACCTTCCGTTGGGTTTCTTCTTATGGATCCCTCACTACAATCAAAAACATGAATAGGTTAATTGACCCCCCCATCTAAAATTTGAGGTGTTATGAGCGTGGGAGGAATGTTAGATTATAAGCTCCTCTTAGGCCAGGCATAGACGTCTTTATGTATCAGAAAAATGTCACCAGCACACAGAACTCCTTAAAGGATCATCAATCGTGAATTTATTGAGAACTCGCGTCAAATACACAAGTGCTTTCGGGGTCACGCAGGGTCCCTTCATCTGGCATAGCTATGACGCAACACAATTGAACAACAACGAGAATTTAAATAGACAAACAGCGGTGAAGAAACGGCTTTAAACGCCCCCTGACGTGGTGTTTTTATTGGTGACCATGTCTCTTCACTGCTGTTTGTCTATTTGAATTCTCATTGTTGTGCAACTGTGTCATTGCTATGCCTGACGAAGGGACCCTGCGTGACCCCGAATCGCTTGTGTATTTGACGTGAGTTCTCAATAAATCCACGATTGATGATCCTTTAGGGAGTTCTGTGTGCTGGTGAAGTTTTTCTGATACGATTTGCAACTGGCGGCGCCATCCGCAGTTATTCCAAGCACCCTTCACCGAATACGGAGATTTCCGGTAAGGAGTGCGACAAGCCTTCTTTATCTTGTAGATGGCTTTATGTGCCCTCCTGAAATGCTGCAGAATATTTACAATGTATACAGCACATCCAGGACATATAAAAATCATAGAACACCATGGTAGCAGTCAGTAGGGAGCCAGCACTCATTGGTTTAGTGCTATATAAAGTATATTTGGAGATCTCCCCACCTCTTGTACCTTTTTATTTCTTTTCTGGGCAGGAATTGGAGTGTTTGGATAGTTTTCATTGTATTGACACTTATCCAGGCCTGACCTTTGTCACCGACATTCTAGTAATAGTGTTACCTATACCTGCACAGCCATGCTTTTTGCCGTGAACGTGACCCTCTGCATGTCAGGCGAAATTGCTTTGAATAGGAGACTAATTTCTCAAGGATTAGATAAGGCTGAATTCCAGTAGCTGATGTTTGCTCTGAAAAGGACATTGTTAGTTGGGTGATATCCTGGTTCACGGTGACCTATGTATGATGTGATAGATGAGTGAACATTCAGGCTCTAATAATAAAGTCTTTGTAAATCCTCACAATGAACATATCCTATTTGCTCCCCGTCGGTCTGTGAAATATACTATTGAAAGCATTTTGTTTTCTCTGTTCAAAAATTGGAAATAAATGCAAGCTAGAAATTCTGCGCTGTTATCCGTTAGCATTGTTACCATTTCTCTCTGAGCTACAGAACACCCTCCCCTATGGTATGGAGAGGGGGAGGTGTTCTGTTGTCCTAACACACTTCGTGTTCCAGGATGACCACACTGCCCCCCGTAGATAGTTCTGAGTGACATGTATTTTAGTAGCACACTGCAAGGAAAAATGTCACTCATTAGCACACTGCAGAGGTACATGTCACTCGGCACACTGCAAGGGCACCTGATGCTCATTAGCACTCTACAGAGTGACATGTTCCCTTGCAGTGTGCTACTAAGCTACAGGTCGCTCAGTAGCACACTGCAAGGGAGCACATCACTCATTAGCACACTACAGAGTGACATGTACCTTTTTTTTTTTACTGTGTGCTAATGAGTGGCATGTTCCCTTGCAGTGTATTGTTGTGTGACATGTTCCTTTGCAGCGTATTGTTGTGTGACATGCTTCCTTGTAGTGTGGTGTGACATGTTCCCTTGCAGTGTATTGTTGTGTGACATGCTTCCTTGCAGTGTATTGTGATGTGACATGTTCCCTTGCAGTGTATTGTTGCGTGACATGCTTCCTTGTAGTGTGGTGTGACATGCTTCCTTGCAGTGTATTGTGATGTGACATGTTCCCTTGCAGTGTATTGTTGCGTGACATGCTTCCTTGTAGTGTGGTGTGACATGCTTCCTTGCAGTGTATTGTGATGTGACATGTTCCCTTGCAGTGTATTGTTGTGTGACATGTAGCTTAGTAGCACACTGCAAGGGAACATGTCACATCACAATACACTGCAAGGAAGCATGTCACTCTGTATTGTGCTAACGGGTAGCGTGTTCCCATGCAGTGTGCTGCGTGACATGCTTCCTTGCAGTGTATTGTTGTGTGACATGTTCCCTTGCAGTGTATTGTTGTGTGACATGTTCCCTTGCAGTGTATTGTTGTGTGACATGCTTCCTTGTAGTGTGGTGTGACATGCTTCCTTGTTGTGTATTGTGACATGCTTCCTTGTAGTGTGGTGTGACATGCTTCCTTGTAGTGTTGTATGACATGTTCCCTTGCAGTGTATTGTGTGACATGCTTCCTTGCAGTGTATTGTTGTGTGACATGTAGCTTAGTAGCACACTGCAAGGGAACATGTCACACCACAATAAACTGCAAGGAAGCATGTCACACCACAATACACTGCAAGGAAGCATGTCACACCACAATACACTGCAAGGAAGCATGTCACACTGCAAGGAAGCATGTCACTCTGTATTGTGCTAACGAGTAACGTGTTCCCGTGCAGTGTGCTGCGTGACATGTAGCTTTTAGTAGCACACTGTAAGGGAACACTTCACTCATTAGCACACTACAAAGGTACATGTCACTCTGTAGTGTAGTTAAAACCTCCTTAATGTATTGTATTTGTCTCCTAAGACTTGAGCACATAATAGTTCAGACAGTCATATGAAGTGCTTTTCTAAAAGAAATCATCGGTATTCAGGTCTAAGTGCGGGGTTGGCACTTTGAGACACAGAAGTTGGTTTAGTGATCCAGTTTGGGCACTCGAGCTCAAAAAGGTTTGCCATCACTGCAATAGGCTATGCCCAGCAGTGTGGCAGGAGGTGTGTTAATCACGAGAGTAGCTGAATGGCAGTTCACACACATATATATATATATATGTATGTATGTATGTATGTATGTATGTATGTATGTATGTCAGCTATGTATTTTGCATCATTTTGTTGCAGTTTTTTTTTTTTAAAGGGTCTCCAGCGGGTTTTTAGTGGCTGCAATACTCTCCTCCTCTTCAGTGCTATCCTCTGCAGTTATCCTTTCCACAACTAGATGATGCTCATGCAGTATCCCTTTGTTGTAAATCTGCATGATATTCCGGTTGAAATAGGCTGGACCAGCACCTGTATATTACAGAGGTGGGGAGAGCACATAAGCATCGGGAGTGGTACAAGCTTTTCTATATTGTAAGCTCTCACGAGCAGGGCCCTCCTAACCCTATTGTACTGAAATTGTAATGTAACTGTACTGTGTCCTCCATTTTGTAAAGCGTTGCGCACATTTTTGGCGCTATATAAATCCTGTATAATAATAATAATTTGTTATGGGAATTAAATAATCGGTGCAGAAGTGCTATTATTGCTTTAAGGGCTATAGGAAAGAATAAAGGAGAAGAACAGCAGGAGGGAAGTGCAATGTGTTCATTATGTCTACCTCTGTGTTGTGTTTTTTCTTCTAATATAACGTTCTACATAAACCCATCCGTCCCACCATTCACCAAAGGCTTTGGTCATGTAACACTCGCCGGTTCCTCTTCTGACTAAATATTGGTGATCACTGCTGCTATCCATCCATGCCCGGAATAGTCTGGTCACCCCTCCCGGTGGTGCTCTCACACCGCTGAAGCAGTGAGCTGATGGGCACAGGTTTAGGCAAACTGCCTAAATCGAAAAGGACATTACAGAGGTGTAACCTTCCTCTGTCCTTCCAGATCTGATTCTTGGAGCTTTTCATTATGTGTTGGGTAAAAGATAGGGATTGGCCAAACACCATTCTGTTTGAAAAAATAAATTTTCATTAATGGGTTCCAAACAAGCATTGATTTCAGCCGTAGTGATGAAAAAAATCAACAGAGGAGGATTGAAAAGTTTTCTCTACCCAAATACTAATGGTGCATGTGGTTTTCGTTCAAAAGACTATTCATTTCCAAAATCAAATGTTAAAATCAAATGACATTCTACAAGTGTCCTATTGAATGTTCTGACGAGATTTTTTTTTGTATGAAAGTCTACCAGTGTATAGCCAGATTTTGGGGGTTTGGAGTTTGAGAATTGGGGTCTAGGTTTATTGGCTGACGTTTGCAATTAGTGTTTTTTGAGTTAGGGTAACTTTGCTTTTAGGTTCTCAGGTGTAATTATTGTAACACTAAAACATATGTGCTGTGTGCCTCATTGTCGGATACCTATTGCCACTGAACATGTTACTGATTTTGAGGCGAAACTTCATGCTAATACTGTGTGCCAGAAGCAAATTTGGCATTTTTCAGGTGGTGTATTATTTGTACAGTAGGATTTGTAGTTCTGCAACCACAGGTCCTCAAGCTTGTTTTGGCTGCTGTGTCTCACAAATGTCCCCCAATCTCATTTTTTGCAGATATCCTCGACCCAGCAATTCTACGGCCTGGACGTCTGGACAAAACCCTGTATGTTGGACTTCCACCCCCTGCCGACAGACTGGCTATCCTGAGAACCATCACCAAAGTAATTTAACACCTAATCTTGCGTGTTTAAAGAAACACATGTATCACAAAATAGTTTGTCTTAACTTGCACTACCTGTGTGCCTCGGTTTTTTGCTAGTGCTAAGAGGATATGGATGTCTTTTCATCATCATACACTGCTACTGGAGGTTTCCTGAATTGCATCTATCCGTTGTACTTGTCTGCATCCTGACTTTCCAGACTCCATTTTGGTTAAATTAGCTGGGACCAGAGCCGCAGGCATTTTTCCTCTGTGGTAGCCCTGTCTCTGTAGACCTGTCTAGTAAGTAGGTTGGTCAAGCCAAACATTGGGAGCTTGCTCTTTTTTTTATTGATCACTGGGCGCCATTGTTTCCTGTGTGCTCCTAGCTCACTTTTCTGCCATAGAGTATCGAGAAAGCATCACCTGCTGCTGTAAAGAGCCGCATGGAACTTTGAGCCTTCTTGGAGGTGTTTCCCTTTGCCCATTATCACTGCAGACTTCTGCAGTGCAATATTCTGTCATTGCGGGACATGTCAGTCCTGTCTCTAGACTGGTTAATTCAGTTAATATCTAAGTCCCATCGCACTCCTGACTGGTCCGTCCCTTTAGGAATAGGTGGGTGCTACAGTGACAAACGGATGGCGCTGCTCAATATCAGAAAGGAAGTGATAAGGATATTGGAGTGCCAGTTACCCCTTTCTTTCTAGTTGATTCAGTTGACGCCAAGAACCAAGGCTATCCCTGACTTGGTGGCTCAGGAATCTGGCTCTGGAGGTAGAGGTCCTTTATTCTCTTATTTTGCAAAGCTCACAACCATGACACCAGATTTTCACGCCGAGGGGCGAGTCCTCGGCAGCTTGTTGGTGCAGGGCACTTGGTTGTCCTGAGAAGCCTCATCTCCCAATAAACATCTTCGAGCTTTAGGCAGTTTGTCTGTCCCTTCAGCGTTTGACCAACTTGTGGGCCACCTGATTCAGAGTCACACAGCTCCACGGCATTCTCTTTTCATGGAGGAACCAGAAGTCTTGCTGCAGCGAGAGAGGTATATAAAACACACAAGTGCTGCCCGTCTTGCAACCGGAGGCGCCGGTATTGTTTTTTTCGTTGGAAGGATTCTAGCCGACTCACCGAGGGCCCTGCCAAATCATCCACTTCTCCTGTCCCAAGGGCTGATTTGCAATCCTGCTTCTTAGTCATTGGCTTTATAACATGACTGTTAAATCTCAGATTTTAAGCAATAAGCATCCCTGACTCTGCAATTCCTGCACACAGCTAGAAAGTCTATTTCTTGCAAGGTCAATCATCGGACACGGGAGGCATGCTTTACATGGTTGTGGTCCATGGTCTTTCATCCTTAGTGCTTGTCGCCCTGGGACAAATTCACCTTTCCTGCTAAAGCTTCCTTTTCTCTAATTTGTAAGGCTGGCACTTGATCTTCTGTTCACATGTACTCCCAACTTCTATCATCCTTGCTTCATCTGATGTCTGCTTTGGGCATAAGGTCTTTCAGGCCACAGGCAGTCCCCAGTATTCTGTTATGTTTGGCCTGTTAGCGAATGCTTGCTGTGTTCCCAACCCTGGGCTGGACTGCTTTTGGATGTCCTGAAGGTGTAAGCCTTTTGGAGTCCATCAATGGCCAAGAAAGAATATAGGATTTTTGTACGCACCGTAAGATCCTTTTCTCGAAGTCCATTGAGGTCCATGTCTCACCCCTCTGTATTTATGATCATGCTCCGGTACTGCTTTGCTACAAAATTGAGGCATGTTGGTAGTAGAAGGGCATCATACCCTGGGCTGGCCTACAGGTTTTTGTTTGTCAGTCTATGATCTTTTTGTGGGTGGCAATGTAACACAAAGGTTAAAGACTTCCTGTATCCCTCAATAGACGCCAAGAAAAACATTATATGGTGACTACAAAAACTCTGTTATTGGGTGAGAGTTTATTACCATTCATTGAGTGGTTATGTGGAAGTTTCTCCTTTTGCATCCTCCAAAATATAAAACCAATTAAACTGTATGAACAGGGGGAACCCCTTTTAATGTGCATTGTAGAAGTGCCAAACTGAGACCTAGAGATCTTGCCACTCGTGTACTCTGAGCAATGTAAGAAACTTAACTGGTTTAACCCCTTCTTGTCCAAAATCTGTAAATTAACATTTCTTAGCATAATGCCCTGTACTGAGGGAGCGCTAATCTACATTACCCATTACAACTAGAAGCGCAAAGCTCGGCATGCTCCTAGCAGTAAGACGCATTGTCACTAACAGCTCTTGGTCTCTAATGATTTACTGCTTCAGAAATTTGCCCCTAAAACACATCAATAAGATTGCATCAAGCTAAAGTTTTTTTATAACCTTTTATCTAAAATGGTATTGAAAAACTACTTTCATTTTTGCTTTTAAAAGGTTTGACATTTTGGAAAGCAAATATGTTTTAGATTTCCAAAGACCAACATTTTTATTTTTTATCTCAACGATTTTTGTGTTCTGATGTTTTTCTAGAATGGAACTCGGCCACCCCTTGCATCCGATGTTGATCTACAAGTGATCGCCTTTGATGAGCGTTGTGACTGTTTTACGTAAGTTGTTATAAAATAACTGTTGACGTGACTTGGTAGAGGCAGAGTTTTTTTGGGTTTGGTTTTTTTTTATAGCTAAATTTGCTTTCACTAAAGACCAAAGAGACAAATGAAACCTCTGAGAATACAGCCTATTCATTCACTAAAAATCAGTTACATCACTGCAAATGCAGCATATCCAGGTTTTTTTTTTTTCCAATTTCTGAGAAATCAACATCACAGAGTGCAACCTATTTTCTAAAAGCCAGTGATGTCACTAAGAATGCAGCCTATCTATGCACTAGAGACCAGTGACCTCACAGAAAATGCAGCCTATCCATTATCTAGAGACAGACCTGTGACATCCCAAACAATGCAGCCTATCCATTCACTAGAGACCGGTAACATTGCAAACAATGCAACCTAATCGTTTACTGGAGACCGGTGACTTCGCTGAGAATGCAGCCTATCCATTTACTAGAGACCGGTGACATCACTGAGAATGCAGTCTATCCATTCACTAGGGACTGGTGACCTCACTGAGAATGCAGCCTATCCATTCACTAGAGACTGGTGACATCACTGAGAAAGCAGCCTATCCATCCACTACAGACCGGGGACATCACTGATGATGCAGCCTATCCATTCACTAGAGACTGGTGACATCACTGAGAAAGCAGCCTATCCATCCACTACAGACCGGGGACATCACTGATGATGCAGCCTATCCATTCACTAGAGACTGGTGACATCACTGATAATCCATGTGGTAAATATGCTTAAAGTGTATACCATGGCATTTTTTTATTGCAGAGATGTACGGAATATGTTTGTTTTAACGACAGATTGCTAGTTAACGTTTCTTGAAGCATAAAATATCACTGTAGATAAAGTTGTGATAAATGTCTTATGGGATTAACACCACACCCCTGGGTACTCTGTTTATACTTGCTGTTAAAGCAGATCCTATGAAAGTAATTTATGCTGACGAAGTTTCTAGGGAATGTGAATATATCATCTAATAGATCTCTAATAATACCCACAAGACACTTCTGTGGTGATTCACAAACATAGCTCAGGTCATGGTTTGCTTTAACCTTTCTTAAAAATGTAAACTTTATATGAGGGCCTGCAGAATTCTTTAAAGAAGATAAAGAAAGTAAGATAAGCCACATACCCTTGGGTGGCATGTGTCAGTACATGTCCTTATGTCCGATCCTATGAAAATAACTATTTACATTTGCTATTTCTAAGAAAGGCAGAGAAAGTCCAGTCAGCTGACCCCACCCTTGCTATCTAAGAGATCAGAGCTAATCCTTTTTTGTATAGAGCAAAGAAAAGAGCAAACAGTCTGGGAAATTGTTACCCTTACTCTTAATATCTAACTGTGGGGATAGTAATCTCTTTAGCATGTACAATATAGTAAAGGAGCTGTCCTCCTTATGTCTCTTCGTAATTAACAAAATACAGGTGCCATGTCCTGGGCACTGCAGGTTATTGTTTAGCAGCAGAGACCAATCTATATTGTAATCATATAATCCATCGCACAGCGATAATGCAGACTGTAGCTTTTATATATTTCATGCTTCAAGCTATAAGGCTTCTGGGTCCACTTCATGAAGTCCAGAGCTTCACCTTCTTATCTGTATGTACCAAATGCATGGCCAAAAGTGTGTGAACACCAGACCATCACACCTATGATATGGCCAAAAAATATGTGGAATCAAAGGACAGACTTTTTGTTACAAGTTCCATAAAGACATGGTTTAAAAAATGTGAAAAAGGTAAGTGCCTGTACAGAGCCCTGACCTCAACCCTACTGAATGCCTTTAGGATGATTTGGAACACCGATTATTAGCCAGGTCTTCTCGTACATCAACAATGTTCTTTTGGCTGGATGGCCACAAATTCTGAAAGGAACACTCCACTCACAAACCCTTCCAAGAAGAGTGGAGGCCGTTGTAAAAACAAGGGGAACTCCATATTAATGCACATGGTTTTGAAAAGGATGTCCAATGAGCTCATAGGTAAGATGGTCAGATGTCTGCAAACCTTTTCCTATATAGTGTACATATACAACATACATTGTTATATGTACTTGGCCATGAACTTCACAGCTATGCATATGATCCTAAAAGGAGAACGTGACCGAGGTCAGATTTCCATCACTGGAGCATGTAACCTTTGGGGTCCTAACATCTCTCTTAGGAGAGATGTTCGGCATTACAGCACGTTTCCTAGAATATTCTGTCAGTGTGTAAATAATCTTGTATGAAATCGCTGTATGTCCACTCATGATGTGAAAAGATATGTAGCTAATAATGATTTGCCCATTGCTCATAGACACAGACTGGTGGGTATATCTCTGTTCGTTGTGCTCCTCAATGTTTTGTGTTGGTTGCAATTTTGGCTGAATAGGGGCTTAGAAGTGCTTTCATTTTCTGTGTCATTACTGGGCAGGAAGTCAGGAGTGTGTTGGAATATGTCACCTGCCATTGCTTGTCTTAAATTGGATATATTACTGGTTCTGATAACCTGACGTTGCCTTGTATCTGCTGTTCGATGTACATTGGATCCATATGCGCAGAGAGATAAACAAGCTAGGTCAGTTGCCTGGCTACATAACTTCAAGTTATACATTATTCTCAGTAATCATAAAAGTCAGGACTTCAAAGTATAAGAATATGTTAGAGCTGGTAGTACTTCACACACCGTGGTTCATGTGTAAAGTACCTATAGTTTAAAATGGAAGTACTGCTGAAATGAGGTCCCCTGCTCCACAACTCTACAGTATCAGGCCTTCCGTCATGTGGTCTTTGCTGAAATGGAGCGTCAGCATTCTGGCCAATTCCTAACCTTGGAGCAAAAACCACATGACCAAATTCATCACAGCATTTCTCAAAGCAGACGTAGATTCGTTATATATATTTGTCCATGTTAAGTTCAGTATGCTCAGTAATGTGTCAGTGTAACACTTTCTAGTATTTATTACCTGTCGCAGAGATCACAGTACTCCTCCTGGCAATGCCTTCATCTGCTCTTCTCTCCTGAAGGAAAGCGGCATCTTTGTTCAGGCATCAATAGGGGTCAACATCTACTTTTGCTGGCTCAGGGATGATGCAATAATGTAATTCCTGGTGTCTGTGATGTTCTTGGCTGTATCCACAAACATCTGGCACAGATCAGCCCCTGCTGCAGCTTCACACCTTGTGACTTGCTGCAAAGTTACGGTTTTGCAGTCTAATCACTGGTGGAGAAGAGACTGAGGAAATGCTTCTTCCTGCCTGCAGCAGACAGCATGTCTGTTGCTGTATATTTTGGCATGTCAGGAACACAATCATGCAGGCTCGGAAAGTTACTGAGAGGTCCGCTTTATCAAGACAAATGAAATATCCGAAGGGCTGAAATGCTTGCCTATGTGGGAGAAAATGCGGCCTCAAGGAAAATTTGCCTTTTCATTTAATCAAATGGTCATATATCAAGAGGATCTGATGAAGATATGATGGTATAGTCAGCAAAAACTAAGTCACCCTTGGCCTCAGAAGACAATATTCAAAATGTCTTCAAGTTGTCACTTTTACTAAAGGTGACAATAACTGCCCATCAGTCTCTGACATCAAATACATTTTTTTACCCCATTCATCTATTCAAAATGATTTCAGTTGCAAGATGTTTGTAGGTTTGCTTACACGAACTGCCCATTTCATACCCCCCCCCCATACATTTAAATGGGATTGAAATCAGGGCTTTAAGTTGTCTAGTCCAGGGGTAGCCAAACTCCGGCCCTCCAGCTGTGGTGAAGATACAAATCCCATGATGCATCTCCCTCCGGGAGTCATGTCTGTGAGAATCTTGCAATACCTCATGGGATTTGTAGTTCCACCACAGCTGGACGGGCGCAGTTTGGCTACCCGTGGGCTAGTCCATAACCCTCTATTTCGTCATTTAGAGCCATTCCTTAGTGGATTTAGAGTGTGGTCATTATCATATTGAAAGATTCATGTCTGGATTCACTTTTGAATAGATGGTCTCACCGAACTCACTTTGTTACAATGCGGAATTAATTGCTGACTCCATGACTGCTAGCTGCTTAGACCCCGAGGCAGCAAAGCAACCCCAGACCATAACATTTCCACCATCATACTTCACAGTTGGTTTATGATTCTTCTGCTCAAATGCTGTCTTCAGTTTGCACGAATCATGTCTACTGTTACTGTGGCTAGGCAACTTTTATCTTTGGTTCACCAGTTCACGGCACATTGTTCTTGAAGGCCTGGTCTTTGCCTACATGTTAAATTGCAAACTGTAGTCTCTTTCTAATGTTCTTCTCAGACAACTAAGGCTTTTTCCTGGCACACCTCACAGGCAATTTAAAGTAGTGCGCTCTCTTTCTGATTGCAGATGCATGCACTTTGACACAGCTGCTGTAAGAGTTACCTGAGGATCCTGCAATGTAATATTTGGGTTCTTAAGGTGCCCATACACCTTACGACCATCGCAAGACTTTTTTGTCTGTAAGCTAATTAAAAGCTCGTACGATCTGCCCATCTTGGACAGGCAGATCGTACTTGCGATCATTGAAAGCCCGCCCCGCTGAGGGGTGGGCTTCCGATGACCGCAATGCAGAACGGGCAGTGTGCGCGTGCGCACACCGGCCCGTTCCGCCGCTGTCGAACGAGCAGGCTAGAAACCCGCCGACAATCATACGATTCTCGGTGGGTTTTCGAGCCTGCTGGTTGGACAAAAGACGTGCGACCGTACAGTAAAAACGGTCGCCCGTCTTCGTTCACACTGCTCTATTCTGGTACGATCGCGGGATTTCCCACGATTCTCGTACGAGAATCGAGTAGTGTATGGGCACCTTTTAGAGACTTCTTTTAGAATCAGAATTTGTTAGACTGGCCAGCCAGATTAGCAGTTGTTAGAAATCTACGCTACTTGTAAATTTTATTTTTCTTAGAGTGAATTTCATGATTTCAAATCATTTGGAGATCCCTTTAAATCCATAGCCAGAGTTGTAGGTGTCCACAACCTTCTTTCTGAGGGCCTTGGAGAGCTCTTTTGATCTTGATGACGTAGCACAGGTCATTGGCACGTATTTAAACCTCAGATATGTAGGGTCTGGTCTTCTAAGACAGGTTCTACCTGCATATGACCTATGGAGGGCCTAATCACTGACACCTCATCTGGAATACCATATTCTAATTTTATAGATTTGACGTGGTAATGGAATGTAGAGGTACATTTCCTTATACTATGCGATAAATGTTCATTATTAATCATTTACATTGAGAAAAAGGAAACGTGTCAATTTTGTGTGTCATATCTTCAAGTTTATCACCTGTCAGCACTGTTGGAATGAACTTGCCTGTTCAATTAGGTTGACAAAGTCATCAGATTCCATAAAGTGTAAGTTTTCAAATGACTATCTCTGTTTTATTGTCGCTTATTCCAGTCTAGTTACATATTTCCTTGTTCTACAGGGGTGCCGATCTGTCAGCTCTCGTACGAGAAGCATCAATAAGTACCCTGAGGGCCCAAATATTACAGCCGGGGCTGGGGCCGATTGACAGCAAAGGTGAGTTAAGGATAAGGTTTCCTAGCCTGGAAGGGAAACTGTTCATTCATATTGCTGACCTGATGGCACACAGCACTTAGCCACCTAACTCCTCCTATGGCAGCAGCCTGGGAGGCCTTCCGAAACCTTCCCCTCTAAGGTCACCTGTATAGGATTTCTATAGAAACATATTTGCAAAGATAGTTTCCCATGAACAAACACCAGCATGACGGCAAACATTAACTTACAGCCCGATTATCTTGATGACAGGCGTTTCATGCAGCAAGGTTGTAGCAAGGACGTTTCATGCAGCAAGGATGCCTAAAGTTAAACTTAAAGAAAACACTTTTGGTATTTAGATTTGCAAAACATATCTGTAGTGCAGTTATTTTTTTAAAAATCGGCCGTTCCTGGGAAAATCAGCACTGTCGGGGTTAACTAGATCACTAACATGTGTCATACACATTTAGAATGATTAACGTGGATCTCTAGTACAGAGGGTCAGCCTTTTCCATGATACAGTTTGCATAGCCAAGTTCGGTTCTCTTTGATTTTGCACCCAAACAGCAAGCAACCAATCCCAAAATTGTGTGCCATATACTAATTCCAGGGAAGATACTCTCTACCAAGATAGCAGAAAGTGGACCCGAACTCAAAAAGTGAATATTTGCTTTGTTATAGGGGACATCTAGAAATGTTAATTGTGCCTCAGCGGTGTCCAGTTTTGTCTGGAATTCCTCCTGAAAAATAGCAGTGCAGTGTCCGCTATGTGAGGGCGCCCAGGCTCTCCTGTACCTACAGACTTATAGCTATGAAATATATCTGTAGCGTGAGATCAAAGGTACTGCTGCCTCTGCTAGTCTCGGGTGACTTGGAATGCGATTTGGTGATTTCACTACCGTGCTGCTCAATATTCCCTTTGCTGGAGGGTCTGACATGAGGAAACCAAGCCCTGCTTCTACCAAGATGGCCGCCTCCACACAGTGTCACCCAGTGGACTCCAAGAAAGGGTTTTACAGCAAGTCCAAAAATGTGTCCCCACTTAAGACATTTTACTTCACTTCCCCCTCCCCTTACCTGTATAGTATGGCCTCTCCCCGGCCATAGCTGCAGTGTGAACCTACTCCCCATGATAATTCTACTAGGTAAGACAGGTGAACTCTAATACACACGGTTATATTGAATGTATCAGTAAACATAAAAAGAAAAAAAAATTAACTTTTACAAATTTTTAGGAAATCAAATTTTCCCCCATTAGTCTCCTGACATCGTGTTGTAATCAATTGGTCCAGCATGTCTAATAGAGGTAACTAATGGTGTTTCTATGCCTTGTATTGGCTCTACAGGACCGACTGAAGTTTATAACAGACACTTTGAGGACGCATTCAGCAAGGTGAAACCGTCGGTCTCCAAGAAGGTACGTCTCGCATCTGTCATGTGTTCCTTGCTTATGAATAGATGCGTGAAGGAACAGAAGCTGCAGAAAACTGTTTTAAAAGAGCACTATGGGGTAAGTGCTTTTCCCCCATCGTTCTCTTAACCTCCCTGGTAAATTCCCGAGTGTAGCTCGGGGTTACTTTTCCATACCATAAGCGGTAACCCCGAGCTACACTCGGGAAAGCCGCATTGCATTTACTTACCTTGTCCCTCGAGCCGCGCTGTGTTCTGCGGCCGATGCCGGGTTCCATCGCATGCGAGCATACGCGTCGCAGGGGGGCGGAACCGGCAGGATATTTTTTAAAAAAATGACAGAGGAAAAAAATAGACCGAAAAATGACATGTAAAAAATTAAAAATCATACCGCCAGGTAGGTTACGGGTCACGGGAGGACAAAAACTAACCTCCTCCCGTGACCCAAAGCTCAGTATATCACGAGCTGCATCTACAGTCAGCGCTGGAGGATCAGAGAGGGGAGGGGGGGGAATCCCTACAGGGAGCGGTGACTGACAGTCACTGCTCTCTGCAGGGAGATGATCGAGAAGTGAGCGAGGGACAGTAAGTGTTTGCTCACTTCCCGATCTATTTAGCCGACCTGTGACAGTTTCATTGTCACACGTCGCTTGAACTATGAGGCGAGTGATTTTCACTCACCTCGTAGTTCTCCTTTTAATGAATAAAAAAAAAAAACTCTGCCTATTGAGCTGGAAATAAAGTGGCATGGCCTGGTCATGTGACCTGTACCTATTAGAGGGGAAAGTAAAACCACCAACTTCAAGTAATGGAAATGCCTTCTAACCACAGCGGACCTCCTTATGGAGCAGGCGGTGGGGCCCATTTGTGGTGGAAGTATTGCCAATAAAAGCCAATCGGGTTTCTTTTGCAATTTTTCACTAGTACTGAGTAGTCACTGGAAAGAATATCTGATTGGTTATTGAGGGTAGCGCCTGCACTGATCTCTTACCTACCACCTTAGTATACGATAGCAGGAGGATTCGGAGCTGGGTGTGGGATCTACACAGAAGACCACCTCAAAGGCTGCAGCACTAACACATTGAAGAAAAGTCAGCCACACACACAAAATAGTAAGTGATAATTGTCTTACAGTAATCTTACAGCAACCCTCCCTGGGCCCAGCAGAGTCCTCTCCTCTGCTGTGCAGTATGCATGCAGAGAGGCCGCTGTGCTCTATGTGTGGGCAGGGGTTTCTCTCTACAATAGTGCAACACCAGCCCCCCACCCCCACCCCCTCCCGCTGATCCAGACCTATAGCGATGTGGTCAGCAGGCAACAAGTTGTATTGCCAATTGCGGCACTGTAGAGAGATCGCTGTTTTCACACAGAGTGCAGCGGTCTCTCTGCAGCATACTTCTCAGTATAGGACTCTTCTGCTTGGGCTAAGGCAGATTTACAAAAAGGAAAACTATAAGACAGTTGCTTACTATTTACTGGCACCCTGATTTGTTTGTTTTGTTCTTTTCCTGCTGCTTGGTGAGATGAGGAACTTTACAAAGTTTCAGGGCAACTGCCAGCCTGCGGTTCCTGACAGGAGTGCAGAGGACATGACAGGACAACAAACAGGTCTTTTACAAGTAGCGTTTCTTCCGGCATTTAGCAACTTACAAAAAGGTTTGTAATGAATACGTTACCTGCACCTGGTGGAGGGAAAGTCCCTAAAAAGGGCTCCATGGTGTGATCAATGTGTCCTTTATTTAGGTATCGGGAAATACTTTGTTCCTTCTCAGATTTCACAGCTCAGTGAAAAGCTTTTCTTATGGGAATTGACAGCTTGGCGAGTGCATTCTGTTCCATGGAAACCCTTGAAAACAGTGAAATAACACATCTCTCCCCTTGTAGGATCAGGTGATATACGAAAAGCTCCGTCTGTCTCTGAGCCGCTGACCGCCATCGTAGAAGGAAGAGCTGTGGCACGTCGTATACAGCGACTTGGTACCAAGTGACGCGGAGTGACCGGGCATGTGTGGGCCTGAAAGCCCGCATTCCTCAGCTGAAATACGCGGCATAGACTGCCATATGGAATGTCATATGTGTGTATAGGACTGGAGATCTCCTCCCTCTACACCTTCCAGCTGTAAATAAACTAGACAGAAACTTTATTCTGAATTTTATACATGTTCTTGGTTTTAATAATTTTTCTAACTTGTTACGCCACCTTGGCCTATATCAAATACGTGTGTGTGTGTGTGTGTGTTTGTCGGGGTGACCTAAAGAATGGAGATCAATAACTGTGTTTTTATCCAGAGGCTGATTTAAAGGGTTTGTTCACCTTTAGGTACATTTCCAACAAAATTCCCCATAAATGTCAGCACCCCCAGCACATTACAAACAATGTTATGGAATGAATGAATGTCTGGCACCAAACCATGTTCACGCTGGAAGTGAGGAGATTTGGGGGGGACATGATTTTCTTGTACAAGATGTTCAATGGAAATGGCAACATCAGCAATAAACTCTTTACGGTAACCTCCATAACAAAGACTAGAGGCCACCACCTAAAACTGGTGGAGAAAAGATTGAACAACAAGGGGCGTAAGGGCTTCTACACAGTAAGGCTGGTTCACACCCAGGCGTATCGAATATGCGCGTTGGTCTCGCATTTCGTGACGTGCGTTTTTACAGCGATACACGGTTAAAAAAAACCTGCGCGACAAATGCACGTTTCCAAGGGCTACTTGGCTGTATCCCAATGGAAACGCGCAACAGAAACGCCCCAAAGAAGCTCCTGTACTTCTTTGGGCGTAGGGCGTTTTGTAGCGCGTTCCTACGGACTGTAAAACGCCCAGGTGTGAACCATACCCATAGGAAACAATGGGATTTCGGTGTTTGAGCGTTTTGCAGAGCGTTTGAATGCGCTACAAAACGCCCAGGTGTGAACCGGGCCTAAGAGCGGTCAGGGTGTGGAACTCGCTGCCACAAGCAGTGGTATCAGCTGAGAGTGTTGAATCATTCAAAAAGCATTTGGACGATTTCCTAAGAGACCGCAACATACAGGGGTACAGGTACACTTAAGAAGAAGGTCACACATGGACTCATCCACACTCATACACATGTAGATTCACATGCATACACGCTGTGGGTTGGACTTGATGGGCCCGTGTCTTTTTTCAACCTCAAATACTATGTAACCACTCTAGTCTCTTGTACATTAAAAGACACTAAAAAGGGCTTTTTACAGGATAGCTGAGAATATAAGAGCTTTGTAATGACACTAGCCGGCTCCTCTGATTGCTTTCTGCATTATTAATGTATAAGGCTCAGCTACAAATATGTATCAGATGAGTCAGAACCAAGCTCCATTCCATATGAAACACGTATAAGCATTTTAATCTGCCAAAAGATTTGTAAGGGGCCGTCTACCGAGCCTGTTTTGCCGCACAGTAGAAGGAGGGGTGACCACATTTCACCAGCTGCATTTCTGTACCCTCTACCTTCCCAAACTGGTGTCACCCTCTGCACACTCTGCCCTTCTGTGAATCCGTCAACAGAGTAGGCATGCCCCTTGCATATTATTATTATACAGGATTTATATATCACCAACAGTTTGCGCAGCGCTTTACAATATACGGAAGAAATTACAATCACAATACAATTCAAGTAAGGTAAGGAGGGCTCTGCCCCTGAAGGCTTACAATCTAAGAGGGCAAGTGATACATGAGGTAGCTGTGTGGGGATGAATTATTTGAGAAAGTGATGGTTCAGTGGTTAGGTGGGATAGGCTTCCCTAAAGAGATGAGTCTTAAGGGATCTCCTAAAGGCAGTCACAGTGGGAGATAGACGGATAGGTTTGGGTAAAGAGTTCCATAGGATGGGAGAGACTCTAGAGAAGTCCTATATGTTGTGTATAAAAAATAGTAATTAAAGCAGATCGGGGGCCCCAGGCAAAGTAGCAGCTTTGCACCTCTTTTCCCCCCGCCCCTTTCCTTCATTTGACATTGATTTAGGATTGCAGTATATACAGAGAAGCCTCACACCATTTGCGTTGCGTGTACTGGCGTAGACCCATCAGACACCAACTGCCCACAAGTGCATCCTCCTTGTGAAGTGACAGCTTTGGCCAATTGTACGATCCCCCAGATTTACTGCAAGAGCATGAAGGTTTGTATGACTCCTCCCCATTCTAAAACGCCATATAAATGATTGGTTTGAACATAATGGAATTGTGGAAAATAAGCCATAACACAGATATACACTGAGTGGCCAGATTATTATGACCACCCCATCAGTACTTCGTTGGGCCACCTTTTGCCTTCAATACTGCAGCGATACTTCTTGGCATTGACTCCACGAGATGTTGAAAGGTGATGCGAAAAGGATCAGCTCCACAATCTCATTTAAGACACCAAGGTCAAGAAGTGTGTTTCCTGTTCACTAAGATAACGGATCCTCCAGATTCAGGATTATTCCATTGCTGTCTGTGCCAAGATTGTACTGCTGACTGTCTGAATAAAGCGGACCTTGCACTAAAATAAAATATCTTCTTATTCCATATCTCTTCCCCAACCCCACCCAAAAAAGTGCATTAGACCTGCAAAAAAAATAAAATATGGAAAATGTATAGATCTATTTGCCTTACCTTCTTATAAGATTTGGGATCCTTGGCATTCCCAGGTTTCTTCCTCTCCCAGTCTGAGCTCTGCTGTACAGTAGACTGCAAGGGGCTGATACCAAGTCAAATTCAGGTAAGTATATGTAGCACAGCTTGCTTTAAACAAAATACAATTAATGATTACAGAGCTGCATTGTTCTGTGACTTTTACATCTGCCCCGGCAGCTGAACTCCGGGCACAAAGACTTGTAAATACATTCCTTAATAGTTGCAAAGGATATACAACAACTTTGTGTGCCAAATGTTTGTGCAAAATCAGATACTTACTTGTAAAGGTAGCAGTGACATCATCACTGTGAGCTGGGGGAGGGGCCCAGCAGGCTCCACCCAGTACAAGCTGACCGCATACAACTGCAGGAGGGAGGCGGAGACGAGACCAGTAACCCTCCACAAGGAGAGCGAGCAGCAGTGACTTGTCTTTATTACAGTAGGGGGCGGAGACAAAACCAGTCACCCTGCACAAGGACAGAGCAGCAGTGACCTGCCTTTATTACAGGAAGGGGCGGAGACAAGACCAGTCACCCTGCACAAGGAGAGAGCGTAGCAGTGACTGGTCTTTATTACAGGAGGGGGTGAAGACAAGACCAGTCACCCGGCACAAGGAGAGAGAGCAGCAGTGAGCGGTCTTTATTACAGGAGGGGGCGGAGACAAGACCAGTCACCCTGCACAAGGAGAGAGCGCAGCAGTGAGCGGTCTTTATTACAGGAGGGGGCGGAGACAATTCCAGTCACCCTGCACAAGGAGAGAGAGCAGCTGTGACTGGTCTGTATTACAGGAAGCTCCAGGTCTCGCACTGGATTACTGCACAGATCTGGAAGAAATACACAAAGCTCACCGGGATTCCAGGAAGGATACACATGACTCTTGTATGAGGACAATACTCCCAGAGTTCAGCTTTAAACGCTGCTTAGCGCCAATAATCTGAATGAGGACGTTTGTCTCTGCAGTGGGTGACACACAATCATCTAATAAATCACTCTACAATCCCGGCCTGTAGCTGGGGGCAGAGGAAGGTGTTGCGTTTAATGACGGTTCAGCAGAAGTAAACTCACCTCCATGCTCCATTAACAACTAATAGACTTCTAGTAGAGGTGAGATTACTGAGTAACTGTATCCAGTCCTCCCCTCCCCCTCCCATCATGTCACATGACACTCAGGGGTTGATTTACTAACCTCACAAACACGCCATAAACACGCCGATTGCGCGCGCGTGCGCGTATACGCTTGGCGCGGAAACGTATGCAGGTTATACAGATGCTTGATAAATACTACCAACGCGCGCGCATGGCGCGTTAAAATGCCGAGGATTCCATAGGGATGTGCAACAACCAACAGCAAAGTGAAGCCCAGTGGCTGAGCGGTTAGAGGACCTGCCACACAACACCTATTTCCCCGGTTCAAATCCTGCATCAAGTGAGTGGAATTAATCCACATACAGCAATACAAACATCCTGGCCAAAATCATAAAACTGAATCTCATACACTGCACCCACCATTGTGCGTTTCATAAGGAAGCTTGTGTGTCTGCGGTGGGAATAAATTCTAAATGAATATTGTATTCTTTGTGAATGAAGAGTAAGTGGAAACAATTCACCGTAAGTCACAAGAATTTTCAGAAATACAGTCACAGATTTCACGCCAGGGCGCTGCAGCAAAACTCACGGAGTCCTGAACGTTGAGCTGTCAATAAAATGCGGCCGGCCCCAGATTCTTGTGAATTTCAGGCCATTGATTTTGAAAGAGCTATTTAACGCAGTGTGCATCAATGCATGACAACGCACCCTGCAGCTCACTGCGCTCCGGTGTAAATGGGTCCTAAGGGAAGAGTTAAGGTAGTATTAAACTCTCAGGGCCAGTGCAGACCTGGGCGATCCGGGACCGCGCGATCGTGCACAATTGCACACAGTGATTTCCGCACCGCAATCGCAGAAAAAAGGTACATGTACCTTTTTATTTTGCAACACACGACGCGTGGCTGCTTTAGCCGCGATCGTGTTCTGGAAACAACACAATCCGCCCGGAGCGACTGGGGCGCTGTTAGAAAATAATGGCACCACCAGCGCGATCAACGGTAGTGGCTACTCCGTGACTGCACGGCAATCTGCGCGGCATTGTGCACGATTGTCGCGGATCGCCTCAAACTTTTTTTCAACAATGAGCTGTTGTGTTTTTTCAACAATGAGCTGTTGTGCTCGGCAACCAATCAGCTTCTCTCTTCAGTGCGTTCAGTTAAGATTTGAAAATGAAACAGAGAAGCTGATTGGTTGCCATGCACCAGATTTTGTCTGCTCCAGTTTTGATAAATTCCCTTCTTTGGCTTTAATGCTTTAAGAATACAAAGCTGGAGC